GTCCTGGGATTGAGCCCCGCATCGGGCTCCTTGCTTAGCAGGGAGCCTGCTTCTCCCTCTCCCTCTGCCTGCCTGCCGCTCCCCCTGCTTGTGGTCTCTCTCTCACTCTCTCTCTCTCTGTGTCAAATAAATAAATAAAAAGTCTTAAAAAAAAAAAGTCTCTTATGGTTTAAAAAAAAAAATTTGTATGTGATGCTCTCACTGGAAATTTGATCTTAAGAACATGGATAGATCTTAAGTACCCATTTGTTGTTTGTGATTTCCACAGTGTAACCATATTACTTTATAAATGAAAGTTAAAGAATTAAGATATGCACACGGTATAAAATTCAAAGGATATGGAAGTATTGTTTTGGCTGAAGCCCGACCTTTCTTTCCTGGTATATCAACTAGTGAACTGAAGTACTGTGAGATAGCTCTAAGTCAGTTTATTAGACATGGATCATGTGCAAGCAAACACAATGCTAGGTGCTGGGGATACCAAGACAAAAGCCTGTGTTTAAGAAGCTTCTGCTCTTTCCTTGGAGCCAGAAAGTAAACCAACATTTACTACTTAGTAGTGTATTGATGTATATAATAGAAGTGTATCATAGAGATGGGAGTGGGGAGGTACTGTAGAGAATGCTTAGCACACAAATTCCCAAAGTAACACTTAGGGTGGTTCTTGAGCATGCATGAACTGGATGAAGGGGAGATGAGGAGGATATAAGGACCTTCCAAGCATGTAATTCAGTATGACTATACTGAATTGTGTAGGATGGGGAAGAGGAGAGGGAAAACCAGAGGGATGAGCTGAGGCCTGGTCACAAAGGACTTTCCAGATCATAAGGATTTTGGAATTTATACTGTATACTGTGGTGTCAGAGAGCCATTAAAAAGACTTTTTTTTTTAAAGCCATTAAAGAGTTTTAAGTGGATGTGTGTGTGTGAGAGAGAGAATGAGAATCAGACTTGTATTTTGGAGCATAGCTGCAGCAACAAGGTAGAAGATAGAATGATGATCAATTAGGAGTCTGTTGTAGTAATCTAGGTAAGAAGTATTGTGGGCTTCATTTAAAGCCTTAGAACTAATAGTAGAGGGACGCCTGGGTGGCTCAGTGATTAAGCATCTGCCTTTGGCTCAGGTCATGATCCCAGGGTCCTGGGATCGAGCCCTGCATCAGGCTTCTTTCTCAGCAGGCAGACTTCTGCTACCCCAGGCTTGTGCGTGTGCTCTCTCTCTCTCTGACAAATAAATAAACTCTTAAAAAAAAAAAAAAAAAAAACTAACAGAAAAGAGAAAACAAATGAAAGAAATTAAGAGGAGAATCAGCACTTCCATTTCTGGCATTAGGGGTAAACTAGAGAGAGCTCATGAATAACCCTCTTGCTGAGAAAAATCCTAAGTGAAATGTGTATTAAAATTTTTTTTTTGAAAACACATCAATGGGCTGGTGAGAAAGTAAGGAATACTTTGAGGCTAAGAATGAAATGAAATGGGAATGCAGATGTTAGCTAGATGTAAAGGAAGCCTTCACCCTGGTGGAATCTGCCCAAATTGAATGGTTTTAAACTTCTCCTTTGATAGCCTCATAGGACCCAGGAAACGGGAAACAATGCCTGTAGTCTTCCTAAGGAGAAGAGTCTGATAGGAGACCCTTCCCCTTCATGAAGCTGAGACTTTGTTTCAACCTTGGCAGTTAGAGAGTGGCAGGAGATAGTCACTGAGAATTTATAACAAGGGTCTTTATAGGGTCACATTTTCCATGAGGGCTTAAATACCCTAAGTCAAGAATGTATATAAAATGGTCTTTGTTGGGGCTCCTGCATGGCTTAGTCCATTAAGCATCTGCCTTTCAGCTCAGGTCATGATCTCCGGGTCCTGGAGTCAAGCCCTGCATCAGGCTTCCTGCTTAGCAGAGAGTCAGCTTCTCTCTTTCTCTCTGTGCCTCTGCCCCTCCCCACTGCTCGTTCTCTCTCTTTCAGATAAATAAATAACATCTTAAAAAAAAATAAAATGGTCTTTGGTAGTGCCCACAGGTGCCTTACAAAATTTACCAATTCAAACCCTCTTAGGAGGAATGTATCTTCAACCCTCACTTCAAAAATCGACAGAATTAAAAATCCAAGGCACATGAGATCACAGGAAAAAAAAATCACAAAATGCGCAAAAACCATGTCACATGAACAAGAGCCAGCAGAAACAAGAGAGGATGACTCCCACAGACTACAGAAAGTTTGTTTTGTCTTAGTAATTTGAATAAATTTGATGAATATGTTTGAAGGAATGAGAAGTTTGAAATATGAGTATAAAGGAAGGGTCTCTGAAACATGGCTAGGCATATTAGGAAAAAAACAAAAATGGAACTTGTAGTTCTAAAAAATTAATTGAAATCGGGCACCTGGGTGTCTCAGTCGGTTAAGCGGCTGCCTTCAGCTCAGGTCATGATCCCAGAGTCCTAGGATCGAGTTCCACATCGGGCTCCTTGCTCAGCAGAGAGCCTGCTTCTCCCTCTGCCAGCCTGCCACTCCCCCTGCTTATGCTCTCTCTCTCTCACTCTCTCTGTGTCAAATAAATAAAATCTAAAAAAAAAAAAAGTGTGTTAAAAAAAAATTAACTGAAATGAGGGTGCCTGGGTGGCTCAGTTGGTTAAGCGACTGCCTTCGCCTCGGGTCATGATCCTGGAGTCCTGGGATCAGGCTCCCTGCTCAGCAGGGAGTCTGCTTCTCCCTCTGACCCTCCCCCCTCTCATGCGCTCTCTCTCTCTCTCTCTTTTTTTTTTTTAAGATTTTATTTATTTGCGAGAAAGAGAATGAGAGAGAGAGCATGAGAGGGAGGAGGGTCAGAGGGAGAAGCAGACTCCCTGCTAAGCAGGGAGCCCGATGCGAGACTCAATCCTGGGACTCCAGGATCATGACCTGAGCCGAAGGCAGTTGCTTAACCAACTGAGCCACCCAGGTGCCCGCTCTCTCTCTCTCTTATTCTCTCTCTCAAATAAATAAAATTTTTTAAAAAAATTAACTGAAATGAAAAACCCAGTGAAGAGATTAAAAAACAACAACTACAAAAAGAACAGACTGGCACAGCATAGAGTGATCTGATTGGAGTTCCAGAAAGAAATAAATGTGAATGGAGGAGCATGGTAATTGTTAAATAGAAATAGCTGAGAATTTTTTGGAATGATAAAAGATAACAATCCTTACATGGTGGAAGTGCAGTGAATCCCAAGGAGATAAGTAAAATCAGCCAGGACAGATTAGTGTGAAACTGCAGAAGACCAAAGACAGAAAATCTTAAAAGCAACTAGAGAAAAACAACAGATTGCTATAAAAAAAGGTTTTCTCTGGTCTAGCAACTGATTTCCCAGCAGCAACAACAGAAGCCAGAGGACATTGGAATGTGGTCTTTACTGAGAGAAAATAGCTATCAGCCTGAAAATAGAATATCCAGTAAAATTATCTTTCAGGAATGACAGCAAAATGAAGACATTTTCAGAGCAAACACACACACACACGCACACACCCCCTTTAGAAGGAAATTATAAGGTACATGATTCTGGTAGAAGGAAAGTCATCCCAGATGGAAAACCTGCAATGTGTTTTAATGGTCACAAAATGTTCCATCAAATAAATTCTACAATTTAGATTCTAGTATTATTGGACATTTATGTTTCCAGTTTTTCAATATTAACTGAAACTATATTGGACACGTATATGGATGTATTTATGCTTGTAGTATTTGATATGGAATAGATAAAAGAATAAATCTTTTGGGGTGCCTAGGTGGCTGAGTTTAGGCGTCTGACTCTTGGTTTTTGGCTCAGGTCATGATCTCGTGGGTCGTGGTACCAAGCACTGCGTGGGGTTCTGCGTTCAGCATGGAATAATCTGCTTGAAGATTCTCTTCTCTGCCCCTCGCCCCACTCCCGAGCGTGCGCATGTGCACTCCGCTCAAATAAATCTAAAAAAAAAAAAAAGTGTTTTTTTGGCTAGAAACCCAAATTACTGGGTCAACAAAGGAAGGAGTACTTTTTGATACATGTTTTAAAATTGGTTTTGTAAAGGGCTTTACCAATATACATTGCATCTAACAGACTATGCTGGTTTTACAAATGAATAAATGTGTGTAGGGTCAGTTCTAAATGATGAAGATTGACTTTTTTTTTTTTTTTTAGAGAAAATGAGAGAGTGGGGGTGGGGGTTGGGGAGGCAGAGGGAGAGTGAGAGAGAATTTTAAACAGGCTCCTGTGCCCAGCGCTGAGCTGGATGAAGGGTTCGATCTCACAAACCTGAGATGATGCCCTGAGCCAAAATCAAAAGTCGGACACTTAACTGACTGAGCCACCCAGGTGCCCTGAAGATTGACATTCTTACCAGATTTTGACTTGGTTATAGTTTTGACAAAATGTCCCATCTCACTGCTCTCCCTTTGTTATTAAAACTTTCTTTTCTTTTTAATGGAAACAAATGCTAACTGAAATGCATTCTTTTTAACAAAATATTTTCTAACTTTCTAGAATGTAGTCTTTCATTTTTCTTTATCATTTTTTCAGTTTCTAACAAATATATAGTTGGTCCTTTTATTTTATTTATTTATTTGACAGATACAGCAAGAGAGGGAACGCAAGCAGGGGGAGTGGGAGAGGGAGAAGCATGCTTCCCGCCAAATAGGGAGCCTGATGCGGGGCTCGATCCCAGGACCCTGGGATCATGACCTGAGCCGAAGGCAGACGCTTAACGACTGAGTCACCCAGGCACCCCTAGTTGGTCCATTTAAAGACATGCTTTATTTAGTTTGGTGTTACTATGAAGGAAGACCACTATTTTAATGCTGGTAGTTTCTTTTCTAGCTTTGTGTAATTTACTAATCAGCTAACATTGTAAATGTAAATAAGAAGTCATTCATCCTAAAAGGGAAAAGGTATTATTAATTTGCTTGGGAATTCTGTATTTTAATATGAACCTTTAGTAAGAAGGTGTCTTTTTTTTTTAACTTTTTCCCTGTCTTTTTGCTTTTTCAGGTGCAAGCGAAAGTGTAGGGAAACATATGCTCGAAGCCTGCAACAATAATCTGGAGATGGCAGTCACTATGTTTTTGGATGGTGGAGGAATTGCTGAAGAGCCCAGTACCAGTTCAGCAAGTGTCTCCACAGTCAGACCACACACAGAGTATGAATTTATTATTTATTGTTAGGAGCAACCCCGCCTAAATTGAGCAGTTGCTTTTTTTTTTTTTTTTTAAAGATTTTATTTATTTGACAGAGCGAGAGAGCACAAGCAGGGGGAACAGTAGAGGGAGAGGGAGAAGCAGGCTCCTGCCTGATGCGGGGCTCGATCCCAGGACCCTGGGATCATGACCTGAGCTGAAGGCAGACACTTAACCACCTGAGCCACCCAGGCGCCCTACAGCAGTTGCATTTTTATCAGTTAGGTTAATTCTCTGGTTTTGAAAAACTTAAAAGCTGAAAGCATCTGAAAAAGTGTCTTGTGTACATTTTTATACTTATATGCCTTAAATTCTCTAGAGCACTGTCATGTCTATTATTTAATCTTCAAAAGAACCCTACGGGATGACATTATTATCTACATTTTACAGATGAGGAAGCAAAGGCTAGCCATTTTCCCAGGCTACACAGTAATTACATAGCAGATACGGCAATAAAGCCCAATAAAGCTCTGATTTCCCAATTCTAAATTTTCTTACATTGTCCCAGGTGAGTTTTGAGTTGCCAGGAAAATCTTTTGAAAAATAGTTCTAGTCCTTTATACCTTAATGATAGTTACATGTGGTTAATCATTGGAAGCACCTTTAGCATATGGAACTGTATTCTGTAGAGAATGATAATAAATGGTGAACAAATTTGTGTGTTTTGCCCTTTATATTTGATACCAGTGAGAGTTTGAAATGAATACTTTATGGGCAAAATTCCACATCTTTGGAAAATATTAGAGATGAATGCTACTCAAAGGAAAACCATTGATTTTTGAAACAATTAAGCAGATCCTTAAATAAGACTTTAATGCTTACAGCCCTTTGTAACGCTCAGTGTTTACAACATGAGATACTAAACAAGGGGAATTCCCTGTTTAAGGGAATAGATAGACATAGATACTATTTTTAAATTAGAGATAGATTTAAAAAGCCAAATAATATTCAAGACATAGTTACTTCATTGATCTAGTTCCAGGTTCTAGAGTACTAATTGTTTCCACATGAAGAGTGAACTTTAGAGATCATTATTAATACTTCATAAAGTTTTTTCTTATCAGTATTGGCTACATATTTAAGATGTTGGTATCCCATTTCCCCCAACATAGCTCAAATTTTTCATGGAAATCAATATGAAAACATGATTTAGTTTACAGAAACTTGAATAACAGGTATTCATGGCTGATTTGGGGGAACATAACTGTTCTCACTGTATAAAACGTGTTTTTTTTTAATTGTGTTTAAAAATAGTTTTGATATGGGGTGCCTGGCTGGCTCAGTCAGTAGAGCATGCAACTCTTGATCTCAGGGTCGTGAGTTCAAGCCCCACATTGGATGTGGAACCTACTTTTAAAAAATAATAATTTTGATCGATGAATGTCTTATCCTATTGAATTACATTATAATTTGACTTAGGTTATTTGTATTGCTAATTGATTGTCCTAAACTATAATTTTCACTCTTTATGGTTCTTTTTTCTGATCCATTTTTTCATTTTGTTGGGTAGCTAGCAATCTTGGAACAGATACCCTCAAACATGGAGTAATCAACTTTTTCTGTATAGGGACTACTACTTAATCTAAACCCCTAATTGATGTATTTCATCAGATTAAGGTTTGTTTTCTGAGTAATTAAATTGTTTTAGATTTAGATAATTATATATATACTATAAAATCATGGAAATCATGGAAAGACTTATTTAGGTAAAAGATGTCTTCTAAATTCTTAATTTTCTTAAGAAAATGGACTATTTCTCTTTGATGAAAGAGGATTAATAGAGTTTCCTCTTTTAGATGCATTATCTATTCCTTCAGATGTACTTAATTTTGAATTACATTTTATCCTTCATCTTTTGACTTATTGTAGATTTCTCTGTCAAACTAGTTCTTTGATTATAGGATGTTCTTGTTGACAAATGAGTATTCATACTTTATTTTATAAAGTATGTTTTGGAGTTCTACCTATTAGATATAAAAAAGAAGGCCTTAAGCTCAGTTATTACTATTAGAAACACCTGAATGGAAAACATTACGCCTTACTTAAATTAACATGTGAGTAGGACACAATAAATTTGGAGCATACTCTTCCTTGCTATGAACATTAATCAGCAGAGATTAATATTTTAGTTAAAACTATAAAATAAACTGATACTTAAAAGAACATAGCCATTTTTACAGTATTTCTAAATGAGTATTTTCTACTGGAGGAGATGGGTTATTAATAAATCCTCTGGAGGTAAACTTTGAAGAGTTTATAGGCTTTTATTTTTTATTTATTTATTTATTTATTTTAAAGATTTTATTTATTTTTTTGACAGAGAGAGACATAGCGAGAGCAGGAACACAAGCAGGGGGAGTGGGAGAGGGAGGAGCAGGCTTCCCGCAGAGCAGGGAGCCCGATGTGGGACTCGATCCCAGGACCCTGGGATCATGACCTGAGCCGAAGGCAGACGCTTAACGACTGAGCCACCCAGGCGCCCCGAGTTTATAGGCTTTTAAAAGATGAGTAATTACTTCTGCTCTGGATATATTGGAGTTTATTTAATAAATAATCCAAGGTAATACCTATGTTAACTGTCTTCATAACTAGCATAAAATTTACTGCTTGTTTATTTAAACTTATTTTATTTTTTTATTTTTATTTTTTTTTTAAGATTTTATTTATTTATTTGATAGAGACACAGCGAGAGAGAGAACACAAGCAGGGGGAGTGGAAGAGGGAGAACAGGCTTCCCGCCGAGCAGGGAGCCCAATGCGGGGCTCAATCCCAGGACCCTGGGATCATGACCTGAGCCGAAGGCAGACACTTAACAAAGACTGGACCACCCAGGCACCCCTAAACTTATTTTAATACATGTGATTTAATGATCTATTGTTTGATATAGTAGTAATGTAATAACTGCTTTTATTATGCCTATATTTTCCATTTTTTGTCTGATTTTTTGTTTTTGTTTTTTTGTAAGCCACCCCCCCCCTTTTTCCTGTAAAGAATCTAGGGTAGGGAACTTGAGAGCAAAGGGGAAATATTTTTTCTTTTCTGTTTGTTCTCTTTCTTTATAAATCATTTGAGCCATCTATGCCAGGTACTTTTATTCCAGGTGACCTCTGTATGGAAACCTAACAATTATTTAACACCATGGTTCCTAAAAGTCACTAAGTTTGGTGTTCATATAACTTGTTAATTTGGATGCATTCACAATAGTTATGGAGAGAACATGTAGCAAAAAACAGTTTTCCTTTTGATATTTTCCTACTTCTTTTAATAGAGAAGAAGTTCGTGCCCCAATTCCTCAGAAACAGGAAATATTGGTGGAACCAGAACCTTTGTTTGGTGGTAAGTTCATCTTTTTTTCTTAGTTTTATTGGACTCTGTTGTTACCTTAGGGTTTTAATGAAGTTATCAAAAGATGTGAAGACTTCCTTAGAGATTATTACTTTTAAGTGTAGAGTCAGTTCTTAATCTCATAATTCTGTACTCCCTTCAGGAAAATTGCACAGTTGCTTCTTTACAAGTAGAGAACCAGATTAAAATATTTGTTGTAGAAGGCCAAAAGAAGGAAAATTAGCAAAAAGAAATACTGCCTTGTAATGGAAGCAAATCTATCATTAGATAAAAGATCCGATTACTTTTTGTTTTGGGGGGCACTTACTTGACTACCATATCCTTACTGTCTTGATATGCCTTGTCTTTACTCTTTCTAAATTTCCAGAAGCGCTATTCCTATTTTGAACAAAGGAGAAAGTAATACCTAATCCATGCAAAAAATTATGATGTCAGTCTGGGTGCATAGAGAGACAGTAGAAAATGGAACATTTAATTAGATTTAAAGAAAACTTTTAGTTTAATAAGCACTTATTTACCTTTTGCAAGCTAAATATTTTAGGTATTAATAGGTATATTAAAAAAATAGAAAATAAAGTTATAACGTGGGTAGGCAAAGTCATAGAAATGTATTTGTACATATTGATACCAGTAATGCAGAGAAATAAAAAGTTCTGTAGGTAAACTTGAATAAAGGAGAAGAAATAAATTATAAGAAAAGGATGAAGAAAATTATATAAATGGTATGTTTTAATTTGAAAAAGCACTGTAATTGGGAGTTTTTTTTAAGATCAGTCTTGGCAGCTTTAGAGTTTACTGTAGTGAGAAATAACAGAATATACTGTCTAGATTAGAAATAAAGATGGGAGGAAAAAAACTGTAAGAACTGAATATTGAAGTATAATATGGGCTTTCTGGACTTTGATTCAGCCAGTCATTGTGCTGTTAATATACCAGAAGTAATAAAACATTGTTCATAATTTTTTTCATATAAATGTTATGAATGGATTTTAAAATTGAGGGGTGAAGCCCTTGGACGCTTTATCTTTTCTTTATTGCAAGGAATAAGGCAGGATTTCTGAGTGGGGTAGACTACAGGAAATAAATTCTGTGCTCTTTTACTGTTGTAAAGAGGCAAAAGAGTTCCCGTTTGAAACCTCTTTCCTCCTTTTACGTCTGGTTTAATAGACATTGAAGAGGGGAATGGGAATGACTGTAGAGTTAGGAAGTCAGTCCTAACACTCATTATTAGATCTTATTATAACTTGATAAAGGTCTTTGGAGAACTATTTTCTTCTTAGGACAGTATTGATTTAAAGTGTGATTCTCAAAGTGTGGTCTGGGGGTCTGTAAGGTGAAAACTATTTTCATAATAATTTTCATAAGAAGTTATTTGCCTTTTTTTACATTGTTGATATTTGGCCTGATGGTTCAGAGGCAATGATGGATCAGACTGCTGCATCTGAATTGAGTCAGGGCAGTGGCACTAAACTGTAAATTCTTCACTGCCATACACTCACAATTTTTTTTTTTAAATAAACCTATTTTACTAATAATGTTCTTGATGAAGCAATAAAAAATTAACTTCATTAAATCTTGACTCCTAAGTACACATTTTAAAACTATTCTGTTTTATGAAATAGGATGTGTACATAAAGCACTTCTGCATACTGAAGTAGTGTGGTTACTTTAAGGAAAAGCAATTTTATAGTTGTTTGAGTTGTGAACTAAACTAGCTGGTTTTTTTTTTTATGGAACATTATTTTTACTTGAAAGATTCCTGACAAACTATGGTTATGTAGACTTAGGCATTTGGCAGACATTTTCTTGGATCTGAACAAAGGTCTGTTACTGCTTTAAGACAAACAACTGACATTGTTTGTTACCAGTTATTTTTTTTTTTAAAAAGAGCTTTCAGGCAAAAATTAGAATTTTAGAAAGTTTATATCCATGATTAGGAGCTTGATAACTTCCCATTACTTAAAGGCTTTCTGATGAGATTAGTGGTGTCATTAACAGATGTTGATTTTTTATTATTACTGTATAATGAAATGGTCGGTGTTTGGAATGTTTGCATAACTCAGTGAAGAAATATTTTCTTTTTCTTTCTTTCTTTCTTTTCTTTTCTTTTCTTTCTTTCTTTTTCTTTCGTGGGGGTCGGGGGTGGGACAGAGGGAGAATCTTTAAGCAGGCTCCGTGCCCAGAGCGGAGCCCGATGCAGGGCTGATCTCACAACCCTGAGATTGTGACCTGAGCCGAAATCAAGATTAGATGCTTAACCAACAGACCCACCCAGGTGCCCCTGAACTAATATTTTCAGATGACCAGTGCACCATATATATATATATTTTAAAGATTTTATTCATTTATTTGAGAGAATGAGATAGAGAGACCATGAGAGGGGGGAGGGTCAGAGGGAGAAGCAGACTCCCTGCTGAGCAGGGAGCCCGACGCGGGACTGGATCCTGGGACTCCAGGATCATGACCTGAGCTGAAGGCAGTCGCTTAACCAACTGAGCCACCCAGGCGCCCCTGACCAGTGCACCATATTACAAAGCTGTGCATATGTGAAATGACAGACAACGAGATAAATTGTATAGATGGATAGATTAGTTATCTATTGCTGTGTAACAGATTGTTCCAAAATTTAGCTTCCTGAAACAACAAACATTTGTTATCTCACAGTTCCTGTGGTTCAGGAATCCAGGTGTGGCTTGGCTGGATATCTTTGGTTAGGGTCTCTCACAAGGGTATAATCAAGATGTCAGCCAGAGCTATAATCATCTCAAAGCTTGAGTAGAGGAGGATCTCCTAAGCTTACTCATGTGGCTGTTGGTTGACTAAAGACATGAGTTCCTTACCAAAGAGCAAATGAGAGAGCAAGAGAAGGCAGCCCATTTTAAAAGCCACCATCTTTATTAGAAGTGACAACCCATCATCTCACCTCTGCCACATTCCATTTGATCCTGCCCATATTCAAGATATTCACACACAGGTTATGAATATTGAGAAATTGGGATAATTGGAGGCCATCCTGCAGACTGCCTACCACATAGACCAATGGATTTTAATGGAACAGATAATGAAAAGTTCATTGATAAGATTTTAGATTCCATGCTGCAGTTAACCTTTAAGAAACTACTACTGGTTGAGTTTTGGTACAGTATCAAAGGAGAATATTCACAGTGATCTCAAAACACTATTAAAATACTGCTCCCCTTTACAACTATGTATCTGTGTTAGGTTGACTTTTAATTTCCTTCATTTACTTGAGCTATGGGAATAACAACGGATTGCAGAAGCAGATCTGAAAATCCAGATGTCTTCTCTTAAGCCAGTTATTAACAGGGAGTTGTGAAAATGTGATCAGTGCCACTCTTCTAACTAAATTTTTATTCTCCACCTGTCCCACTCCCCTATTCTATGAATCTCATTTTGAATCTTTTATTAGCATTTTGTAGCTTAGCCTCTTAGACCTCAGTGACCAGCATTTCTGTTACATGGCAATAGAGTGAGAATACAAAGGACTGATGTTTGCTGTATAGCAGATTGCTTGAAGAGTCAGAAAACACATATTGAAGAGGCAGGTTGGAGTACAGGCATTCCTTGTTTTATTGTGCTTCACAAATATTGTGCTTTTTACAAATGAATGGCTGTGGCTACCCTGTGTTGAACAAGTCTTTCAGCGCCATTTTACCAGCAGCATTTGCTCACTTCATGTCTCTTTGTTACATATTGGTAATTCTTGCAATATTTCAAATGTTTTCATGATTACTATATTTGTTACGGTGATCTATAATCCATGATCTTTGATTGTACTATTATAATTGTTTCTGGGCATCACAAACCACACTCGTATAAGATGGTGGACTTAATTGATACGACTGGTTTACCAGCCAGCCATTCCCTCTCTCACCTCCTTCTTGGGCCTCTCTATTCCCTGAAACACAGCAATATTGAAATTAGGCCAGTCAGTAACCCTACAGTATCCTTTAAGTGTCCAAGTGAAAGGAAGAGTTGCACGTGTCTCACTTTAAATAAAAAACTAGAAATGATTAAGCTTAGTGAGGAAGGCATATTGAAAGCTGAGATAGGCCAAAAGCTAAGCCTCCTGTGCCAGTTAGCCAAGTTATGAATGCAAAGGAAAAATTTTTGAAAGAAATGAGAAGTGCTACTCCATTGAACACATGAATGATGAGAAAGTGAAACAACCTGTTGCTTGCTGATAAGAAGAAAGTTTTAGTGTCAGGATCGAGGATCAAACCAACCACAACATTCCCTTAAGCCAAAATCTAATCCAGAGCAAGACTCTAACTCTCTTCAATTCTTTGAAGGCTGAGAGAGATGAGGAAGCTATAGAAGAAAAATTTGAAGCCAGCAGAGGTTGGTTCGTTCATGAAGTTTAAGGAAAGAAGCTGTCTCTATAACATAAAAGTGCAAAGTGAAATAGAAAGTGCTGATATAGAAACTGCAGCAAGTTATCCGGAAGATCTAGCTCAGATTTTTCAATGTAGACAAAACAACCTTCTATTGGAAGAAGATGCTGTCTTGGACTTCCAAAGCTAGAGAGGAGAAGTCAATGCTTCAAATCTTCAAAGGACAGGCTGGCTCTCTTGTTAGGGGCTAATGCAGCTGGTGACTTGAAGTTGAAGCTGATGCTCATTTACCATTCTGAAAATCCTAGAGCCCTTAAGCATTATGCTAAATCTGCCCTGCCTGAGTCCTATAAATGAAACAACAAAACCTGGATGGCAGCACATCTGTTTACAACATGGTTTACTGAATATTTTAAGCCAACTGTGGAAGCCTACTGCTTAGAAAAAAGATTCTTTTCAAAATAGGACTGTTCAGTGACAACATACCTGGTTATCTAAGAGCTCTGATGTTATTGTCCAACAAGATTAATGTTGTTTTCATGTCTGCTAACACAGCATCCATTCTGTAGCCCATGGATTAAAGAGAAATTTTTATTTTCAAGTCTTATTATTAAAGAAATACATCTTGTTAAGCAATAGTTACCATAGATAGTGATTCTTTTGATGGATCTGGGCAGTGTAAATTGAAAACCTAGAAAGGATTCACCATTCTAGATGCCATTAAGAACATTCACAATTCATGGGAAGGGGTTGAAATCTTTTTTTTTTTTTTTTAAGACTTTTTATTTATTTATTTGACAGAGAGAGAGAGAGCACAAGCAGGGGGAACAGCAGGCAGGCAGAGGGAGAGGGAGAAGCAGGCTCCCCGCTGAGCAAGGAGCCCAATGCGGGGCTCGATCCCAGGACGCTGGGATCATGACCTGAGCCGAAGGCAGCTGCTTAACTGACTGAGCCACCCAGGCGCCCCTCAAAATAACATCATTAACAGGAGTTTGGAAGAAGTTGATTCCAACCCTCATGGATGACTTTGAGGGTTCAAGACTTCAGTGGAGGAAGTGAGTGCAGATGTGGGTAGAAATAGCAAGAGAACTAGAATTATAAGTAGAGCCTGAAGATGTAACTGAATTACTGCAGTCTCTTGATAAAATTTAAATGGATGCGGAGTCGCTTCTTATGGATGAGCAAAGAAAATGGTTTCTTGAGATGGAATCTACTCATGGTAAAAATGCTGTGAAGATTGTTGAAATGACAACAAAGGATTTACAATATTACATAAACTTAGTTGATAAAGCAGCAGCAAGGTTTGAGAGGATTGACTCCAATTTGTTTTTTTAATATTTATTTATTTTAAAAATAATCTCTGTACCCACTGTGGGGCTCTAACTCACAACCCCAAGATTAAGAGTCACATGCTCCACCAACTGAGCCAGCCCAGGTGCCGCTTGGTTGACTCCAATTTTGAAAGAAGTTCTACTGTGGGTAAAATGCTATTAAACAACATTGTATGCTACAGAGAAATCATTTGTGAAAAGAAGAGTCAATTAATGCAGCCAACTTCATTATCTTAAGAAGTTGCCACAGCCACTCCAACTTCAGCAACTACCACCACGATCAGTCAGCAGCCATCAACATAGAGGCAGGGCCCTCCACCAGCAAAAAGATTACAACTTGCTGAAAACTCCAATGATGGTTAGCATTTTTTAGCAATAAAATATTTTTAATTAATGTGTAATTTTTTTTTTAAGATTTTATTTATTTATTTGACAGAGAGAGATACAGCGAGAGAGGGAACACAAGCAGGGGGAGTGGGAGAGGGAGAAGCAGGCTTCCTGCCAAGGAGGGAGACCGATGTGGGGCTCGATTCCAGGACTCTGGGATCATGACCTGAGCTGAAGGCAGACACTTAACGACTGAGCCACCCAGGTGCCCCAAATGTGTACATTTTTTTAGACATAGTACTATTGCACACATAATGGGCTACAGTATACAGTTGTCCCTTGAACAACTCAGGGGTTAGGGGAGCTGACCCCCAAGCTGTTGAAATCTGCATATAATTTTTGACCTCCCCCGTTCTCCCCCCGCCTGCTCCAAAACTTAACTAGTAATCTGCAGTTGACTGGAAGCCTTACCATAACGTAAACAGTCAATGAACGCATATTTTGTATATTATATGTATTATATACTGTATTCTTAACAATAAAGTAAGTTGGAAAAAAATGTTACTAAAATCATAAGGAAGAGAAAACACATTTGCAGTACTGTACTGTATTTATTGAAAAATTCCCACATATAAGTAGACCCGTGCAGTTCAAATCTGTATTATTCAGTGGTAAACTTTGTGTAAACATAACTTTTATATGCACTGGGAAACTCAGAAATTCATTTGACTCGTCTTAATGTGATATTTGCTTTATTGTGGTAGTCTGGAACCAAACAATACATTATCTCTGAGGGTATGCCTATAATAATGGTCCTAGGACTAGAGGTGTTGTGTGTGGCCTGAGGAGAAGTTCTTGGTTAGACTTAGCATAAATAAGGAGGAAACAAATGGGAGCAGGTTATGAGCCCAAGAAGTAAAAGGGGTTGAATCCAAAGCTAGCAAAAGAGGAAGTAGGAGACTCCCAGGAGATCAGATGCCTGATATAGAAGGGCTAAAGTGGGAAGAAAGTGGGTGGTGTGTGTGAAATAATGTAGAATATTGAGTGGCCTGCCTTTGGCAATTTCAAAGTAGAAGAAAGTTACCTTTTGTGTACTACCTCCCCAATAATCATATACTCTGTTTAGGCAGCCATTCTGTGCCTTATCATCAGATATCCTTACTTTCTTAATTGTTATGGTTAAAAGTATCTGCTAAAGAGTTTTAAGAAGGCATTATTTGAGAGGCCATATTGTTCCTACTAGAAACCTATACATTTGAAATAGGAACTCTTGATTAAAAATAGTTACAAGATTGGAAAGAATAACATTCCTTGCTGCTGCTTTATAAAGGAAAGGAGGGAAAGAGGAAGGGAGGAGAAAATAATGAAATATTTAAATTTAAAAATTTTCAGTTTAAATAAATATAAATAAAATTCAATATAGAACTAAAACATGGAAGTTTCTTTTTCCTTTTAAATCAAATCTCTTCCTTGAGATAATATTGTGATTCTTTAATATAAATACACAAATGTGCATAAATTATATACAGATGATACTTCAAACAAAAATGAGATTTTTTAAATATATGGTTCTGCATTTTGTTTTGCTTTTTACTTAATTGTTCTTGGATAGAAAGAATTATCTTATATAATGGCATACACAGACTTTTGGGAAAGATGCTTTGACATGGGGTGGGGACTTGATACTTCCTAATCTTACTGCTATTCATCATTTATTAACATGAAGCATTCTTCTGTTTACATGCTGGCCAGGCATGCCATAAGCCAATTTAATAACTGTTACCCATATTGAAGGAATTGTTAAATGTCCTTGTTTATTGTAATGTATATAAATGATCTGGCAAATGATCTGAACATATACATATAGGAAGATAACATTTTTATTATTGCTTTCTAGACTTTATAAAATACTTAAGGATTGTGTAATAGATACTATACTGGGTATCAGAAGATCTTGGTTCTGTGTACTTTTCTCTCACTAACCCATTGTGTAACTGTGGAAAAATTTTTCTTGCAAAATTAAAAATATTTTTGGTGTTTATAATTCTACATGTGTATCCATTGACTAAGAAGTTTTCGTAAATATGGTTTAGAAGGTAGGTACTCACTCAGGTGTTACACCAAAAGATAGTCAGATCCGTTAGGCTAACCTGAATTAGATATTTGCAGCATGTATGTAGCTTCACCACCATGGGGAGTCATCCTTAAAATCTTCTTTGTTCTTATCTTTTACACAAGTTTGGTTAAGTCTCTTAATTGGGCCTTAATTTTCTTATTTGTAAAACAGAATGGTTGGGCTGAACATGGTTGACTTAATTTTATATGAATGACTTGAAGATTTTTAAATATTTTTTTTTCATTTTTTTTATTATGTTATGTTAATCACCATACATTACATCATTAGTTTTTGATGTAGTTTTCCGTGATTCATTATTTGCGTATAACACCCAGTGCTCCATGCAGAACGTGCCCTCTTTAATACCCATCACCAGGCTAACCCATCCTCCCACCCCCCTCTCCTCTAGAACCCTCAGTTTGTTTTTCAGAGTCCATCATCTCTCATGGTTTAAATATTTTATTTTTTGAAGGACACCTTTATAAATCTATGAGTGTTCCCTTGTTTCTTGTTTTAAAACAAGAAATACTTACAGATAGGGAAGTTTTTAGAACCATTTCAAAATTAAGGTTTAAATTTTTGTATCATTTCTATTTTTTTCCCCTAAAGCTCCTAAAAGACGACGGCCTGCACGTTCAATATTTGATGGTTTCCGAGATTTTCAGACTGAAACTAGTAAGTATCTTGTACCAGTTTATTATATCTCTCTCGCTTCTTCATTCTCCATTTTCTCCTCCCCTCTCTTCCTCCCACATAGAAAACCACAAAATGGAAAAGCACCCAACTGCTCCCCTAGAGATCAGGATCCTGGTTTATATAGTTTTTCTTAAAAGAAAAAGATGATTAATATCAAGCCTAATTACTTTGAGGAGTCACCTTATTGTAAAAGGAAATTATGAATTCAGTCTGTGATTGTTACTAACTTCCCCTTATGCTAAATTGTTCCAAATGCTAACCTAACTGGTGATAGAAGAATATTAAGAGTGATGGAGGTCACAGAGCCTCCGCCCCCTCAATCTTTTCTGGGCTCCTGCTTACCTGGTGGGAGGAGCACTCGGCCACTCTCCCACTCGACCGCCCACAACTAACTTGTCCGCAGAGATGTCAGCCGCTGGTGCCCGGGGCCTTCGGGCCACCTACCACTGGGTCCTCAATAAAGTGGAGCTCCTGCTGCTGGAGAAATTGAGGCCGTTGTACAACCACCCGGCAGGTCCCAAAACAGTTTTTTGGGGGGCTCCAATTATGAAATGGGGGTTGGTGTTTGCTGGATTGGCTGACCTGGCCAGACCTGCAGAGAAGCTCCGCACAGCTCAGTCTGCTGTTTTGATGGCCTCAGGGTTTATTTGGTCTAGATACTCACTTGTAATTATCCCAAAAAACTGGAGTCTCTTTGCTGTTAATTTCTTTGTGGGGGTAGCAGAAGCTTCTCAGCTCTTTCGTATTTGGAGATAAAACCAAGAACTAAAAGCTAAAGCAAACAAGAGTTCCTGACCACCCGAACAATCTAGATGTGGATATACCCACTGGGACTAATTTGATTTATTATTTGGCTGTTGATAAGGTGATATTAACTGTGCTACTGTTTGGAAGGCATAAAAAAACTGTAAACTGGGGGCTAATACTTGATTCAACAGAAAAATAAAGCAAACTTTTTTTTTAAAAGATTTTATTTATTTATTTTGACCGAGAGAGACACAGTGAGAGAGCGAACACAAGCAGGGGGAGTGGGAGAGGGAGAAGCAGGCTTCCTGCTGAGCAGGGAGACCTATGCGGGGCTCGATCCCAGGACCCTGGGATCACAACCCGAGCCGGAGGCAGACGCTCAATGACTGAGCCACCCAGGCGCCCCGAAAGCAAACTTTTAATTTAAAAAAAAAAAATGGGTGATGGAGAAATGTAAGAAATCTGGTAATTTACAAAGTTAATTAGCTTTTGAATGAGCACTTAAATGCTGACTATAATAAAAGAAAAAGATGGTTTCCCTCAAGATCCTGACATCTCACCTCACATCAGTCAGAATGGCTAGTATGAAATAGACAAGAAATAAGAAGTGTCGGCAAAGATGTAGAGAATAAGGAACTCTTGTGCACTGTTGATGGGATTGCAACCACTATGGAAAACAATATGGAGGTTCCCTCTAAAATTAAAACTAGCAATACCATATGACCCAATAATTATAATTTTGGGTATTTATCCTAAGAAAACAAATATGCACCCCTTTGTTTATTGCAACATTATTTTCAGTAGCCAAGTTATGGAAGCAGCCTAAGTGTCCATCAATAGATGAATGGATAGAGAAGATGTGGTATTATGTACACAGTGCAATATTAACTCAGTCACAAAAAAGAATGAAACCTTGCCATTCACAGCAACATTATGGTCCTTGAGGTTATTATGCTAAGTGAAATAAATCAAAGACAAAGACAAATAAAATATCGTATGATTGCATGTATATGTGGAATCTAAAAAACAAAACAAATGAACAAACAAGTGAAAAAGAGATTCCTAAATACAGAGAATAAATTGGTTGTTGCCAGAGGGGAGTGGGAGGATAAGGGAAATAGATGAAGGGGATTAAGAGGTATAAACTTCCAGTTATAAAATAAGTCACAGTGATGAAAGCTACAACATTGGGAATATAGTCACTTAATACTGTAATAACTTGTATGGTGACAAAGGGTAACTACATTTAACAGTGAGCATTTTGTAATGCATATAATTATTGAATCACTATGTTGTACACCTGAAACTAAAAGAATATTGTATGTCAACTGTACTTTAAAACAATAAATGAATAATTGGTGGAAAAAAAGAAATCCTGGTATCTGTCAGTTTAAAGGAATGACCACAATGAAAATGGTTATTGTAGGGGATTGAAAAATAGAAGAGGAAAAAGCCATACCACCCAAAGCAGCCACTCTTAACCTTTTGGCTATAGTTGTTTGGAATAGATGTGTATCTTTCTGTGGAATAAGCTAGAATGAGATTCTTGGCCTTATACTTTTAGAGGCTTTAGTGGTGATTTAGCAATGGAATCTTTAAAAAAAGGAAAGTTGTTTAGAGAATATATGGAAAACTGTTGGACCATGCTTGATTTTGTAGTTGATTTATAATGAGCTCATTGCAGCACAGGTAGGTCTTGTAACTTTGGAGAGAGTTGAAGAGGGGAACCCAAACTGATTCAGGTCATCCAGGGAAGTCTGTACCCTTCCAGGAGAAGGTGACAACAGGTGGTCCTTCTCTTTCACTGCCAGAATCTTTAAAGATTGGCAGTGTAGGTAGAAACAACAGAGATATTAGGCTTACTTTCAGAACTGGGTAAATGGAGATGAAACTTTTCTCCTGTGCTCAAGTTCGCTTGGAATATGAGAAGGAAATATTTTGATTAGGTGACTCTACTGTAATTTTCAGCTTTTGTCCTTACATTTGGATTGAGAGCACCACTAAGTCTTAAGACTCCCTCCCCACCATGCTTTGTGTGTTTTTCAGAATCAGCATTAGATATTTGCATTTGCATGAGGTCAGGCACATTGTTCAGTAATTCTTGCATTTGATGCATGTTTATATTTTGAGATTCATGGCTTTTATTTTCTGGCTAACTGAAACTTTCCTATCCTCCTGTGTTGCAGTTCGGCAAGAACAGGAATTAAGAAATGGAGGAGCAATAGATAAGAAACTAACTACCCTTGCAGATCTCTTCCGGCCACCCATTGATTTGATGCATAAAGGCAGCTTTGAAACAGTAAGTTGCTGGAAATTGTAAGCCTTAGCTATGAATCCTTTTGCATTTTCAATGCCATTTTTTTCTTTCTAAGAACAAAAAAGTTTCCAGAATATAGAGAATTGTCATCTTAGTAAGTATGACACAAGTATGAAATAGCTAAAAGGTTGCATTGATTTATATTTCTACCAGCAGTATATGAGATTGTTTCATAAAATCCTTTCATTATCCTTGTGTGATATCACTTTAGAATCTTTGCCATTTGGGGGGCACCTGGTGGCTCAGTCGTTGGGCGTCTGCCTTCAGCTCGGGTCGTGATCCCAGAGTCCTGGGATCGAGCCCCACATTGGGCTCCCTGCTCCACGGGAGGCCTGCTTCTCCCTCTCCCACTCCCCCTGCTTGTGTTCCCTCTCTTGCTGTGTCTCTCTCTGTCAAATAAATAAATCTTTAAAAAAAAAAAAGAATCTTTGCCATTTGGTAGTTTTGAAAAAAAAAAATCTTAATTTTTTCAGTTTGTGTTTCTTTGATTACTACTGAGAAGAGTGTGCCTGTGTTTATTGGCGATTTGTGAATTGTAGGTATCTTTTGCCCATATTTTTATGGGGATCCTGTTGTATTTTAAAAGAATATCTATGGGGCGCCTGGGTGGCTCAGATGGTTAAGCATCTGCCTTCAGCTCAGGTCATGATCCCAGGGTCCTGGGATCGAGTCCCGCATCGGGCTCTCTGCTCCTTGGGAGCCTGCTTCTCCCTCTGCCTCTCTCTCTCTCTCTCTCATGAATAAATAAATAAAATCTTTAAAAAAAAAAAAGTATCTATGTAGTTGCAGAAGATATTCTCCTTCAGTTTTTTGGTTTTAATTTGGCTAAAGCCAAAGAAAAGCTTTCCAGAGCAGGTTTACTTGATTGTCTGGTAAATTTTAAGTGTAATGAGGGCAGGGGTAACATGTTTCTTTTTATTTTGGTAATCCTTGGGACCCAGTTTCTGGGATTTTTTTTTAAAGATTTTATTTATTAGAAAGAAAGTAGGAGCTGGGGGGGAGGGGCAGAGGGAGAGCAAAAGCAGACTCTGGCTGAACAGGGACACTCCCCGCCCCTCGAGCCAAAGGCAGACGCCTAACCGACTGACCCACCCAGGTGCCCCCAGTTTCTAGTATTTTACAGAAGCATAGTATCTGTTAAATGAATGAGTTTGGTTAGGATTTTAAATATTCTGTTGAAGTGTTAAAACAGTTGCTTTTGTGTGTTAACTAGCATGTTAATGCTCTTTTGAGTCAGAATAGCATTTCCATAGATGTAAATTACTTAAATTTCAGGTCTTACCTGTTAGCATAAAGTAGGCCAATCAGTACTCAGAAAAATGATGTTTGTAGCTGCATATTTGGAAGTGAATTATGATTGTTTTTTAAAAGATTTTGTACTTTGACATACTCTTAGAGTAGCCTAAATGAAATACTGAGGATTAAAAATTTAACTAAGTCTGTTCTTCAGTTTTAATTTTCTGAATTGTAAAACCTGAAAGTGTTTGGCAACATGTAACAGAAAATCCAGATGATAATGATTTGACCAAATAAACTTAGCTTAGCTTAGCTTCTCTTCTCTTTTCTTTCTTCCTTTTTTATATTTTTAAGATTTTATTCACCTATTTGAGGTAGAGACAGAGCACAAGCAGGGGGAAGGGCAGGCAGAGGGAGAAGCAGGCTCCTCACTGAGCGAGGAGCCCCTGGCAGGGCAAGGCTCCACCCTAGGACCCCAGACCACGACCTGAGCCTAAGGCAGACACTTAACCCACTGAGCCACCCAGAAGCCCCAAGCATTTCTTTTTGTCATGTAAATGAGACTAGAGTTGAGAGTCTTTGATATTCATTAGTCAGCTCAAAGATGTTTTCTTTTTCTTGGCCTGGTGATCTAAATATGGCAGCTGCCTATCCTTTTTGCTGTTCTGGTGATAATTCAGCCATTGAGAGAGAATAGCAGCAGTATGAAAGACAAAAAGGATCTGTGTTTGTTTTGCCAGGTTTTCCATTTTTTAGTAGCTTCTGAGTTGCTCTAGGGCTTAATGAAGTAACTGAGCTTGATTTAATTTGATCACTTTGGGTTCATAAAAGCAGTTACTCTGCTGCTTGTTCTTTGAGGGAAAATGTGAATCTTTTTTGATTTATTTTGTTAAGTTATATTCTTTGTATTTCATGACCTGTATTATTCACAGCAATCCATTTATTCACTGATAATACTAAACTTCAAACTTCATTGTTTATAAATCTACAAATGACAAATACTTAACAAAAGGTAGGCATTTAATTATGACTAAGGATGTATATTAGTTTTATAAAAATTAGGGAGGTAATATGCAGAATTAAGTCATTGAAGATTAGGAAAGTGAATATTGAAAATTAGAGGAACACTCTGGTGCTCAGGCAGGGCCCATAGGTTTGGGCACCATCTTAGATATAGATTTGAGCCACAGTTTGACAGGTTTAGAAACTGGACAAGTGTAACTAGAAGTAGAGTATGTTCAAGTGTTGTGGTTCATGCTAACCACATGAGAGACTGATTAATTCACTTGTTTACTCAGTAACTATTGAAGCCTTGAATTACAAGGCCTTATGCTAGGTAATGGGGATTATATTTGTTGGGCTAAAGATTTGACTGCATATGAGAGAGACACTAGGAATAAAGCAGACAGTAGCTTAAATAAGATAGAAGTCCAGACTGTTAGAGTGGTTCTGCTACATAAAGTTATTAGAAGTGTGGTTTTTTCTGTCTTGCACTGCTATTCCCTAGGTCTTGCTTGCTTCTCTTCATATGAGTCAAGATGGCTTACCACCTTGTTTGCTTTCCAACCAGCATGGAGGGAAGGGGTTGAGAAGGGCACACTTTTTCCCTTTAAAGGCACAACTTAGGGTGCCTCCTGTGGCTCAGTCAGTTAAACTGCCTTCAGCTTAGGTCATGATCCCGGGGTTCTGGGATCGAGTGTGGCATCGGGCTCCCTGCTCAGTAGGGAGTCTGCTTCTCCCTCTGCCCCTCTCCCCCGCTCGTGCTCACTCTCTCTCTGTCTCTCTCAAAAGTAAATAAATAAAATCTTTAAAAAAAAAAAAAAAAGGCACGACCTAAAAGTTGTTCATCATCACTTCTGCTCATATCCCATTAACCAGAACTTGACAACATGGCCAAACCTAGCTGCAAGAGACACTAGGAAATCCAGATGCTTAGCAAAAAGTTGGAGGCTCTGTTACTAAGAGGGAGAAGGGGAAAATGGGTATTTGGTACTTATAAGCGGATAACAAACTACACAAAGTTCTTGCTGTCAAAGAGTTTATAATCTAGAGGGAGAAACATACAATAAACAATATATAACATGCATGTATTTTATATGCATGTTTGATATGTATATATAGAGAGAGTGGGAAGGAGAGGGAGAGAGAGAAGAAATTTCAGGTTACAGTAGCTGCTGGGAGAAAGAGTAAAATAGAATAAGGGAAGGAGATAGAGGGTTATTTTTTGTTTGTTTGGGGCCATTAAGCACAAGTGTTCTTACCGGTAAATTGAAAGCAAGGTTGATTTCATAAATTTCACATATGTTTATAATTGTGAGGGGACAGAACTATTTTATTTTATTTTTAAAGATTTTATTTATTTGAGAGAGCACACATGAGGCTGGGGGTGGGGGGGCGGGAGGGTCAGAAGGAGAAGCAGATGCCCCACTGAGCAGGGAGCCTGATGTGGGACTCGAGCCTGGGACTTTGGTATCATGACCTGAGCTGAAGGCAGACACTTAACCGACTGAGCCACCCAGGTGCCCCAGAACTATTTTAGGTAGGAAGATGAGGGAAGATTAAGAAAGGATGAGATTTGATAGAAACCTGAATGGAATGAGGGAGTGTGAATCATAAAGGTCCAGGGGAAGAGTAGACAAAACAGTTAAATGTAAAGGAACTGGTACGGGAAAGACCTAGGCCTAGTTCGGATACAGCCAAGAAAACCAATGTGGTTGGAGCTGAGTGAGCAAAGCACTTAGGATGAATGATCTGACCTGGGCAGTGGAACATTTCTTAGGTTTTCTTTTCTTTTTTTTTTTTCTTCAAGTAGGCTCCACATCCAGCATGGAGCCCATTGCAGGTCTTGAACTCACAACCCTGAGATCAAGATCTGAGCTGAGATCAAGAGTCGGATGCTCAACCAACTGAGCCACCCACCTAGGCGCCCCTTAGGTTTTCTTATTTCTCCATTTAGCCCTTAAGTTCCGTGAACACAGGGACTTTGTTTTATTTATTCTTTTTTTTTAAGATTTTATTTATTTATTTGACAGAAAGAGACACAGGGAGAGAGGGAACACAAGGAGGGGGAGTGGGAGCGGGAGAAGCAGGGTTCTCACTGAGCAGGGAGCCTGATGGGGGGCTCAATCCCAGGACCCTGGGATCATGACCTGAGCCAAAGGCAGACGCTTAACCACTGAGCCACTCAGGCGCCCTGGGACTTTGTTTTATTTACCGTTCCACAGTGCCTGGAAGAGTTTCTGGCAATAGTTGGCACTCATTAAATTTTCATTAAATGATTGAATGAATGGCATAATCTGGAGTATATTGTACAGAAAGAATCCAAACAATTTTCTTGATATTCCTTATTTTAATAAATGCATATTTATTTGTTAAAATTGTTGTTCAGTTACACATGCACCTAGTCCTAATCACTAAGAGTACTTTATTAATTTCAAAAGTACTTGCTATAAATGTGGGTGAAAGTAATTAACATTTCCATAAGAAAGTACTGTGCATATTTTAATATTTCCCTTTTAGCTTTGTGGCTATATATTTGTTATTGAACAAAATTATTTTTCTTCTACATCCTTACTTTTTGTACTTTCCTGACCTGTCTGGGACTGAGAGAGAGGTTAGTCTTTACTGTTACCACTTGTCATGATAAATCCCATCACATACCTCTCTGTTTGGTGTAGCCACACTTGCCCTTGGGTCTCCCTGTAATGGCTTTGGAATATTGACTCAGAACAGCCTAATAGATTCCAAGAGGGAAGATTCATTATTGTCCCATGGTCCACTCTCACCTCTAGTCCTTGACTCATATAATTTGTATACTTAGTGAGATTGTGTTAAGACTCTTACCTCTTGTCCAGACATTGTTCCTTTGCATGAAATTTGTATCTTCTTTGGCTCCTTCCTTCTAGCAATAATTTCTTAATAGATCTTCAGGTGGTTTTTTTGGTTTTTAAAAAATATTTTATTGGGCGCCTGGGTGGCTCAGTTGGTTGGGCGACTGCCTTCGGCTCGGGTCATGATCCTGGAGTCCCGGGATCGAGTCCCGCATCGGGCTCCCTGCTCAGCGGGGGGTCTGCTTCTCCCTCTGACCCTCCTTCCTCTCATGCTCTCTGTCTCTCATTCTCTCTCAAATAAATAAATAAAATCTTAAAAAAAAAACAAAAAAACAAAAAAAAAAAAAACAAAATAAAAAATATTTTATTTATTTATTTGTCAGAGAGAGAGGGAGAGAGAAAGCAAGAGAGTGGCAGAGGGAGAAGCAGGCTCCCCACTGAGTGGGGAGCCCGATGAAGACCTTGATTCCAGGACCCTGGGATCATGACCTGAGCCAAAGGCAGACACTTAACTGAGTGACCCAGGTATCCCAGATCTTCAGGTGTTTTTGCTGGTATAAGGTTTTGCCCCCCAATGTAAGCTTCATGAAGGCAGGGATTTTTGTGTTTTGGTAATTGCTATAAGCCAGCATCTGTAACTGTACCTGAAACATTGTAGGTTCTCAGTGTCTGTTGCATAAATGAATCTGAATTAATGAAAGCATGAATGTTAATAAACGAATTTTTTAAACACAGAAAACAAATGATTCTGCATCATTTTTGAATTTGGACTTTATTTTTTATTTTTATTTTTATTTTTTTTATTTTTTTATTTTTTTAAAGACTTAATTTATTTATTTGACAGAGAGAGAGACAGCGAGAGCAGGAACACAAGCAGGGGGAGTGGGAGAGGGAGAAGCAGGCTTCCTGCCGAGTAGGGAGCCCGATGTGGGACTCGATCCCAGGACCCTGGGATCATGACCTGAGCCAAAGGCAGACGCTTAACGACTGAGCCACCCAGGCGCCCCTGGACTTTATTTTTTAAAAGATTTTATGTATTTATTTTACAGAGATAGAGTGGGGGAGGGGCAGAAGGGAGAGAGAGGGACTAGCAGACTCCCTGCTGAGCGTGGAGCCCACTGGCGGGTGGAAGGGGGGGTTGACCTCATGACCTTGAGATCATGACCTGAGCCAAAATCAAGAGTCAGCCACTTAGCCAACTGAGTGACCCCAGGCACCCCTAAGCTCTGAACTTTTATTATTTTTGGTGCTACACATTTTTTTCCTTGTTTTCCTTGTTCCTATTTCCTTAGTCTTTGTATTTGAGGCAGACACGTAAATTTATCCTATTAAAGGGATATGTTCTCTCCAATCTGTCTCTCTAGAATGTGTGTTAATTTTTTCCTTTATTCTCAAGCTTTGCACAGTGGCAATATCGTAGCCAGTGAGGTTTATCCGAGGCGCAATTATTGCTAATTGAAAATTTTTCCTTTATTCTTAAATACTTTACTTTTCTTCTCTTTTCTTTCCTTTTTTTTCTTTTTAGAGAGGGAGAGAGAGAGCACATGGGGGGGAAGAGGGAGAGAGAATCTTAAGCAGGCTTCACACTCAGCATGGAGCCCAATGCGGGGCTCAGTCTCACAGCCCTGAGATCATGACCTGAGCCAAAAATCAACAGTTGGGTGCTTAACCTACTGAGTTGGGTGCTTAACCCACCCAGGTATCCCTCAAATACTTTTCTTCAGTTAAGACAGTATAATTACTTACCACCCATTTATTAAATCTATGTGAATGCTATAGGTAAGGAAGTTAAGTGGAGCACTCTTACTTCCTAGGTGCAAGGAGGTATTTTATTATATTTATATAATAAGATTCTTTATTATACTATACTTTAAAATAAGGCTTTGACCAGTTAAATACAGCTTCCTGGCTCAATACATGGATACTTCTTTTTAGAACTTGGGTTTTCACTTGTGGAATAAGTAGCGAATATTAGAAAATTATTTTCTCTGGGGGGTTTATACAAAAAAATAGGATAACAGTATTTGCAAGATTGTGTAAGCCTTAATAGAGAAGATAATCTTAGTTTTACATCTTATAATACTTTTGAAATGTTTATGTTCTTCAGATGTCATTAATCTAAGTTAATTGATCGTTAAGATTTTCCCATGTCAAACTCATAGGAAAAGAATATTATTCCAGGGCAAAATTATTCAAAACTATGCCTTTCATTTCAGTTCTTATGTAGAGGTTTGAGGTAGCATTTGCTTATTTGCCTTCCTGCTATTCTTTTCCTATTTGGCATTATTTCTTAGGTCTTTGTGGTGATGAGGAACTGTGAAACAAAAAGTGCACACTCATGATTGATATTTGTACCATACACTGGGGAGTCTTGGAGATCATTCTGAAATATTCTGTGATCCTGTGATCTCAGGTTTCGAAATCCACCTTTAGGAATAACAACCTTAAGAGAAGACACCCTCGGCAGCTCTTACTGAAGTGTTTAGGGTGATTCTGTAAAATAGCACGTGCCTGATAATTGGGATGAAAATGGTATTTGGAACTGTGTATTGGAAACACATTTTGAAGTATGTATATGCATGTATGGAAATATTGAGAAGAAAACAACAAAGTAATACATACTGCTTATATCTGTTTAAAAGGGGAGATATTTATGGATAGGGATCAGAAGAGACAATATGATAACATTATATGACTTGTTGACCTTGTTTGTGGAGTCTTTTTTAGGTCAAGATGTTTAATTGTACAGTAGAAATTTAGCCATTAAATAAGTAACAGTGTATAAATGAAAAGCAGATAATTTAAATTTGAAGAATGCTTGAAAATGGACAGTATAATTATATACAAATATGCAAATTAATGTAAATGCTGTATAGACACTGAAAACTCTAGATGTTGTACTTGAGGAAAAAACTTAGTATTTATATGAAGACAGCTTCTGAATTCTGAAACATCAGTTACAAGTAGAAAGTGATTCTAACAAATGTTATGTTACTTTACTCTTGCAGGCCAAAGAGTGCGGCCAGATGCAAAATAAGTGGCTAATGATAAACATTCAGAATGTACAAGACTTTGCATGCCAGTGCCTCAACCGTGATGTATGGAGCAATGAAGCTGTGAAGAATATTATCCGGGAACATTTCATTTTCTGGCAGGTGAGATGGAGAGTTAATCAAAATTTTTGTGGTATTTTACTTTTGTAGTATGGGATGTTGGGGAGGAAGCATTAGGTTATAAAATGGGGAAAAATTAATAACAGTTAAATTGTGACATATGAAAAAATAAAACCACCTAATGGCTGAAATAGTAAGGACAAGTGAAAATAAGGGCAGCAATGAAGAACTCCTAGGGGAAGGAGGAAGAAAGAACCATGCCATGTAAAGCATATAATACTCATATCTCAGAAGAGTTTATATATTTTGATAGAATGTACAACTACACTGTTCGGGAGAAATATAACATGAGCCACATAAGTAATTTAGAGTTTTCTAGTAGCCACATTTAAAAAGGTCAAAAGAAATAAGTGGAATTAATTTTAATATATTTTTAAAATTCACTCTATAAATATAAATATATATATATATAATTAGTATTAAAATATCAAGGGTTTTTGTTGGTGTTAAGTCTTTAAGATTTGGTGTGTATTTTATACTTAGCAGTATCAGACAAGCCACATTTCAGGTACTTCAATATGATACATGTTCTGGTGGCTACTGTAATTGACAGTGCAGATGTAGAAGTTCTTGGAGTAATGGAAAAACATTTGCCTAAGGCCTGGATTTTAGCTTGAGTTTGATACTCCCATCTGTATGTCCTTAGACTTGTCACTTAGGGTCTTGCTGGCTGTAATTACTTTTTATATAAATTATCAAGCTAAAGTTAGATGACCTTGCTCTGATTTTTTATTTTATGAAAAATTAACTGAAAATAAAAACTTCTGAATGAACTTAATTATTTTCCCAATGCAAGTTATGCTATTAATGTTATTAATTTGCCTTTTCATGTGTTGCAGGCCCCTAAATTCAGTATGATTTTTCTGAATGGTACTCTTTTATTCAGCACCTGTTGATTGGTTATCTCTTTGTCTAGCACTATGCTAGGCACTGGAGCCATATAATCTTAATATATTGTGATTTATTAAGATGTATATGTTTGAGAGGAATGACAGATGGACAGATAAGCAGGAAGGGCAATAGACTGGGAAGGGAGGAAGAACAGATTTTATGTTTCTGTAAGTTTCCAGAGGGATTGAGGGCAGGAAGTTGAGGAAATTCACACCAGATAACTTTCATTTTCTATTTAATGTAGGAATAAGATTCTTATATATACCAAAGGTTAGAAGCTGACCTTTTTTATAATATCAATGATTTAACAGGTTTATCATGACAGTGAGGAAGGTCAGAGATACATACAGTTTTATAAGCTGGGGGATTTCCCCTATGTTTCCATCCTGGATCCACGGACAGGTAAGATTTATGTCAGCTTACAGTCTTTAACCTCTCATTTATCTTTCAGTTTTCTCAATAATTGATCTTTACTATTGGACTTGGATCCAGTTTCAGAATTATTTGTAATAATTTAGATAAAGGGTTTTTGTTCATGCCCTTGAAATGTTTAAATATCTGTGAAGTATGTATTTAAGAGTCTGTTTCTGGTAACTTTGGGAGATGGTAGTATTTTATATTTTTGTACAGTTCTGTCCTTTCAAAGAATAGTTGTTTATCTTTCTTGTCCTTTTATAAGGGATCCCCTTAGGTTTTCTATCATTAAAATATTGATTGTTCAATTACTGGTTGTAATCCCACCAGAGAAGCAGGGGATAGAGCTAATTTTATTATTTTAATTGAGCTTCATATAGATACTGCTTTGTCTGAATCTCTTTTTCTTAAATGGCAATAAGCGATACCAGCAGATAAAGTAGCTGCCCCTGTCATGATGGCTCGGAGTCTCTTAGGTTGGTTATAATTAACGTATCCTCTAGTTTATGAAGACAGTATGTAACTTATGCTGATGGGTGGCATGTATGTTCCCATACAAATTTTAATTATGCATGTGCCAAAGAAATATTTAATGAGAATATTCAGAATTAATTTTATTATATATCCTCATTTTTAATTTTTAGGTCAGAAGCTAGTAGAGTGGCACCAATTAGATGTATCTTCTTTCTTGGATCAAGTGACAGGATTTCTGGGTGAACATGGGCAACTGGATGGACTTTCTAGCAGTCCCCCCAAAAAATGTGCCCGTTCAGTAAGTATGACTGAGAAGTGGTGATGGGCAGTTAAGTGTAATTGTATATGAATGTCTTGTGTAAAATGTTTTGAGTAAATATAATAACGTAAGTTTTGGACAGTTACAGTTTCACAGCACCTTAGACACCCTCCTTATATTTGGATAATTTCCCACATTAGGGTTCAGTCTTCTCAGTGAAATTACAAGATTCGTATTCCCAGTCTCCCTTGCAGTTAGGGTACGGGCATGTGACCTGAGACCGGATTTAGAAGTAAACAATGTGAACATGTAGCAGTGGACAGGACGACTGCTGTGGCAAGCCCAGTGACAGAGGAATCCACTCCTTCAGGGGCAGCACTGCCAGTGGAAATGGTATTTTTCCTAGACAGCTTTCATGGTGGTATAGCTGGGCATTATTATTGGTTATATAGCTTTGGGGCTTGGCTCTCTGGCCCACTCAGATTATTTCTATATGTAATTTCTATAATATGCTATTATGAGGCAGACCTGTTTGATAATTGGAATCAAGATTAGTGTCCTGTAAGAGAGCTTCAAAGATATGGGAATCTCACATTTGGTTGTAGGAGCTATTTGGGTTTGATGGCAGTGAGAATAAAATTCGTTTCAGAGGATATGACTTGAGCAGTCCATATCATGCATCTGTGAAACACAGTTCCTTAAGTTATCACCTAGAATAAAGTACCCACAGGCACAAAATGCTATGGGTGCTTGCCAAGGAGTGGTATAGAATTCTTTTTTTTCCCCCCTTAGAGCAGTTTTATTTAGGTAGACATAGTACTGCAGAACAAAAACATTGTTTCATCTTTATCTATAGATGCAGTATTTTGGGGGTTTTTGTTTTGTATTTTGTTTTGGTTTGGTTTGCTTTTCTCATTACCCAGAGAAGTTTTACTTAAGTAGAATTCTTTTTTAAGGCATAAAAAACCCAGAGAGTTTCTTATCCTTTGTAGTCATAAGGCTGTTACTCTCAAAAACCAGAGACTGGGCTTTTGAGTTGCTGAATTACAATAACATAAACTGAGTTTACAACTTCACCAGGTCTTTTACAAAAGTAAGGCTTTTAGTGGGAGAGTGGGACCATAACATTGGACAAATACATAGAGGTGATTGGGGTAACTAGTACCTCAGACCCCACTTCTGATACTAAATTCTCTGAATGTTACAAATACGGATCAACTGTGTGCAAGAGAAACACCCACAAATAATGACTTAAACAAGGAAGACATCTCTTCTCTCAACAAGAAGTTGACATAGGCAGTCTAGGACATGACTCCTGTGGATGTCATCAAGGAACCAGATTCCTCCTCTTGCCCCCACCCCCTCCTTTATCCTTAGTATTGGCTTTTTGTTCTCATGTTCACAGTATAGATGCTGTGCTCCCAGGCATTATATCCAAGCATGGACAAGGAAGAAGGGGGTAGTGCCTCTATACAAAAGTAAACAGCTACAGATAAGAATTCTGCTTACTTTAGCTGGACACATGTCCTTGGACAAATACAGTTGAGGTTCTGTTAAGGAGGCAAAGAAGACTGAATGTGATATAGGAAATTAGTAGTGTCCATAATAGTGTCATTCTTCAAAATCAACCTACATGGTACACAGTGTTACTATCTGTAGTCAGTCTAAGCCATTACATGTCGTATAGGCACATCTGTTTGCTTTTGTGTGTGTGATAAGTTAGCCGTAAGTTTATTTTATTTAAAAAAAGTTATAGGGGCACCTGGGTGGCTCAGTCGGTTAAGCGTTTGACTCTTGGTTTCGGCTCAGGTCATGATCTTGGGATCCTGAGATCAAGCCCTGTATCGGGCTTCCTGCTTAGCACAGAGTTTGCTTGGGATTCTTTCTCCCTTTTTTTTTCCCTCCCCCTCTGCTCCTCCCCCCGTGGGCTCTCTCGGGCGTTGTCTCTCTCTCTGTCTAAAATAAAATGAAATCTTAAAAAAAAAGTTATAGCTTTATGAAGTATAGTTAATGTGCAGTAAATAGCATGTTTAAAACTTACAAGTTATAGTTTTTGATTTGAGCATCTTTTCACGTGCTTTTATACTATCTCTTTTGTTAAAGTGTTTACTCAGATCTCCAGCTCATTTTTTTATTGAGTTGTATGTCTCTTACTGGGTTGTAAGAGTTCCTTAGATAATAAGCCTTTGTTAGGCATATGGCCTGCATATATTTTCTCCTAGTCTGTTGCTTATTTACTCATTTCATAATAGTCTTTTGAAGAGCAAATTTTAAAATTTTCATGAAGTCCCATTTATAAACTTTTATGCTTTGTGCTTTTTGTCTCGTATCTAAGAAATCTTAGCCTAACTCAAGATTTTATCCCATTTTTTTTATATTTTAGTTCTTAAGTCAGTGATCCATTTTGAATTAATTTTTGTATACAGTATCAATATAGGGTTCAGTTGGGGTTTTTTGTTTGTCTGCATATGGCTGTACACTTATTCTAGCACCTTTTGTTAAAAAACACTGTCCTTTCCCCCACTGAATTGCCCTTCTCATCTTTGTCAAAAAATGATCGTATATATGTGTGGGTTTATGGACTCTTTTCGATTAATATGTCTTTCTTTACACTAATATTTTCTGTCTTAATGATTACTATAGCTCTGTAAGTCTTGAAATTGCATGGTATAAATTCTTAAACTCTGTTCTTTATAGTTGCTTGGTTATTTCAGGTCCTTTGTGTTTCCACACGTATGTTTTGTTTTTGTTTTTTAATTTTTAAAATTTTTTTATTTTTAACATGGGAAGGATCTATGGCAGAGAGATCCACATAAGCTTTGTTTATTTATTTACTTATTTTTAAGTTTATTATTTATTTTAGTAATCTCTACACCCCATGTGGGGCTCAAACTCACAACCCTGAGTGGCATGCTTTTCTGACAAAGTGCCCCAAGATCCATATAAGTTTTAGAATCAGTTTGTCACTTTCCGTGAGGAAAGCTGCTGGGATTTTAATTGGATTTGCGTTGGCTTTATGGATCATTTCGGAGAAAATTGACATCCTAACAGTATTGAGTATTCAAATCCACGATCTCTCTATTTGTCTCAAATTTCTTTCCGCAGTGTTTTACAGTTTTTGTACATTGCCCTTGTAGCCTGCAGCCTTGTTAAATTTAATTAGTTCTATTAGTTTTTTTGTAGATCCCTCAGAATTTTCTATGTAGATGGTCGTGTTGTTAGCATATAAAGACTTAGTCGTGTTGTTAGCATATAAAGACTTAGGGCGCCTGGGTGGCTCAGTCACCTAAAAGCCATTGCAGGTCATGTGGGCACTTGCCCTTTTTTGGTGGTAGATTAGCCTTAGGTTTATTCAACATTTTTTTCTTAATTTTTTTGTTTTATGATTAGCACATAGTAAAAGTTGAAATGAGGTTCCTTTAGTTTTTGTTAGCGACCCATACTTTTTACCTTTTTATTGTGGAAAATTTTCAGCATATTCAAAAGTAGAAGGAATTTATTGAGCCTCTATGTATCCATTAACTAGTTTCAGTAATCATTGCAGGTGGCCAGTCTTGTTTCATTCATACCTCATCTTAGTCACATTATTTTGAAACAAATCTCAGAATTCATTTTTTCATTCATTAATACTTTGGCATGTATCTTTAAAAGATAAAGACTCTTGGGGCACCTGGATGGCTCAGTCGGTTAAGCGTCTCCCTTCAGATCAGGTAGTGGTCTCAGGGTCCTGGGATCAAGCCCCACGTCGGGCTCCCTGCTTGATGGGGAGTCTGCTTCTCCCTTTCCCTCCGCCTGCCGCTCCCCCCTGCTTATGTTCTTTCTCTCCCTCTCTGTCAAATAAATGAATAAAACCTTTTTAAAAAAAAGATAGACTATTTTTTTAAAACACAATCACAATACTAGTGATACACCCTTTAAAAAATTAGCAGCAATTCCTAGTATCATGAGATGTCTAGTATTCAACTTTTGATTACCTTACAAAGTTTTTTTTTTAATAATTTGAGTTAGATCGAAATAAGTTCCACTCAGACAACCCATATTTTGCAACTCAATCAGTTTAGCAATATTTGTGACAGAACTTTACCTGGGGGAAAACTGTTGAAATTTGCATTTCTCATGATCACAGTGAAACCCTTCATTGTAATTAAGTTTGGGGAAACATAGTTGTTGGTTTTTCCTATTCATTATATGCTGTTTTGTTTTGGTTCAAATGTTAGGGGCGCCTGGGTGGCTCAGTTGGTTAAGTGGCTGCCTTCGGCTCAGGTCATGATCCCAGGGTCCTGGGATCGAGTCCTGCATTGGGCTCCCTGCTCAGCAGGGAGCCTGCTCTCTTGCTCTCCCTCTGCTCTTCCCCCGGCTGTGCTCTCTCACTCTCTCTGTCAAATAAGTAAAATCTTTAAAAAACAAAACAACAACAAAAAACAAATGTTAGAGATCTGTTACGTTTTTTGCAAAATGATGATTACTGAGTTTATTGATATCCTCCTCTGTGTCAAAGCAGCGCTAGTTGAAGAATATAGTGATGAGTGAGGTAGACATCCTTTTCTGTGTTGAGTCATTTTAAAAACTAATGTTTTGGCTTTATATTTAAAACCTTAATTCTTGTATTTTTCTGGGCCGGGAATAAACTGTTTTCTTGATTCTATTCATTTTGCTATAAAGGAAACCTGCGCTTGCAACACCATTATGCCAGGTGGTAGTTTTTGTTTTTAAAATATACATTCCAACTTGGCTGTGTAAGACAAAGTTGTTGTACTCAAATAGCTTAAACTTTACTATAGTAAAGAGATACATTCTGCAGAAAGTAATATTGTCAAGCTGACTGTTATATTTCTTTTTTTTTTTTTAAGACTTTATTTATTTATTTGAGAGAGAGAGGACGAGTGGGGAGAGAGAGAAGCAGGCTCCCCACTGAGCAGGGAGCCCGACGTGTGGGACTCGATCCCAGGACCCTGGGATCATGACCTGAGCCAAAGGCAGACGCTTACCCGACTGAGCCACCTAGGCGTCTTGAGTGTTAAATTTCTTATGTCCTGTTTGACTTTATCTATTTTTTGATTTAACTGTTTTCTTTTTCTTTCCACCCACGTTTTATGACTGCATCTCGCAGGAGAGCCTTATAGATGCAAGTGAAGACAGCCAGCTAGAAGCTGCCATCAGAGCCTCCTTGCAAGAGACACACTTTGATTCAACACAGACAAAACAGGATAGCCGCTCAGATGAAGAATCTGAATCTGAACTTTTTTCTGGCAGTGAGGAGTTCATATCCGTTTGTGGCTCTGATGAAGAAGAGGAGATAGAGAATCTTGCCAAGTCCAGAAAATCTCCCCACAAAGATTTGGGGCATAGAAAAGAGGAGAACAGAAGGCCACTAACTGAACCCCCAGCCAGAACTGAGCCTGGAGCAGCCACAAACCACCAAGGATTGCCAGCCGTGGATTCAGAAATATTGGAGATGTCACCTGAAAAATCAGATGGAATAGTGGAGGGCATAGATGTAAATGGTGAGTTACATTCTAGACCTGCTTTACTTAAAACTTGAATGTTACTGAAGGGGTTTGTTTATTTGTTTAAGTTAGTCTCATGTCTTAAGCTCTTATCTTTTTTTCTTTTTTTCTTTTCTTTTTAACCCTTCCTTTAGGACCAAAAGCACAGCTGATGTTGCGGTATCCAGATGGAAAAAGGGAACAGATCACTCTTCCAGAGCAAGCTAAACTGTTGGTAAGTATATCTGATTGGAGGTGTTTACTAGAAGCAGAGAAACTAATTAATTGGCATAATTGGCTTTGTGAATCTTTGAAATAGATGGTATTCAGTCTGGCCTCTAACTGGAAACTTAACTGTGGTGCGTCTTTGGATTACTTTATTTCCTTGTCAGATTATCTTAGGCAAGTCACATAGGGTTTGTCTAGTCAAGATTTTCTATTCCATGGCTGCATGGTATAGAAACCCAACTGAAATTATTACCTGGAAAAGGGGAGTGGAGTTATTTATCGTATCCGTGGGGCTCCTGGGTGTCCTAGTAGCTGACCCTGCAAAGTGGTTGAAAACCGAAAGTATTTTTCTGTGTTTTTCTCATGGGGCCTGTTTTGTTTCCCTTTTGTGATTTTCTGCTTCATACCATTCTTCTCTCTGTATACTGGTGGGTTTTGTTTACCTCTCAACTTGTACATGGTTCATCATAGTGATGCTGAGGGCCTTTTCGTCTAAAGTCCACAGCTAATGGGCTTCCCTCTGTTTCTGACTCCTGGAAAAGAGAATGGGTCTGACTAGCTTAGCTTAGCCTATGAGTGAATCCCCCTTGGGTCAGTTGTCCACACCTAGCCACTTGCTGTGGCTGGAGATAATTAATCTGATTCTTCAAGACTGGATGACTGAAGTGCAAGAAGGTTCTGATACCCAGAACTATCTTCCTGGTCTAGTATTTGGATGGGAATGGGAGATGAGATTGTGGATAGAACAAGTATAGATCACTTCTTTGAGAAGTTTGGTTGTGAAGCTAGAGGTAGCGAATGGGCAATAATCAGAGGGGAAAAATGACTGAAGGAGAGAGTGAGCATCTTTAAGTCTGAGGGGAATCATCTGTAGAGAGTGAGATGTTGAAGGTACCTATAAAAGGGGATATCATAGTGGCGCGGTTTTGGAGAAGGAAGAAGGGATTCAATGCGCAGGTGGCACGGATGTCTGCAGGTGGACTGAAGGACAGATTGTTGATAAAAAGGAAAAATGGTAAAATGTTTAAAAAGAGGATGATAATTTTACAGATAGAAATTGAGTTTGTGTATTTGGGAGACAAACATAACCCTGTATATTTCAGTATCACTTAATGGCCCTAAGTTATTGGGTGCAGGTTTATTATCGTCCTATCCAAAGAGTTATATTGGCCCTTCCACAAGGGTAAGCTTTGGTTGTGTGAAAGCGTAACTAAAATTGGGGTGCCTCGATGGCTCAGTCGGTTAAGCGTCTGCCTTTGGCTCAGGTCATGTTCCCAGGGTCCTGGGATTGAACCCCACATCGGGCTCCCTGCTCTGCCCCTCCCCCAGCTGATGCTGTCTCTCCCACTCACTCTCTCTCTCAAATAAATACAATCTTTAAAAAAAAAGAATAACTTCGTATCTTATCTGATATGATAGAAATGAATATAAGATATTTAATTCTTTAATATATTCTTTCTTTGTATTTCCATCTAACAGCTTTGTCTTTCTCTTATTTTTCATAGGCTTTGGTGAAGCACGTCCAGTCTAAAGGATATCCAAATGAACGTTTTGAACTTCTCACCAACTTCCCTCGAAGAAAACTCTCTCATCTGGACTATGACATTACATTACAGGAGGCAGGCCTTTGTCCTCAAGAGACTGTCTTTGTACAGGAAAGAAATTAACATCATGGCCTGACCTCTCTCAGTTTACCCCTTTTTTCCCTTTCCTGTGAGATACCATGTCACTAAGTATGCATTTTGGCTCATAGGACCATAGAGCCAAGTTGGGCAAGCAAGTCACCTGCCTTCTCTTTTATTTCTTGCTCTCTCCTATATTCAGTCTCTTTTCCCCCTCCCCCCACCTTTTCAGTCCTCTTCTATTTTCTTCTTTTTCCTACTATTCTTTCTTTCTTACCTAATCTGGTGACCAAATGGAAGTGTAAGGATTAGACCTCCTAGTACTGGCAGCAGGAAATGTGTGTTCCAATAAGTGGTCTCTTGCACGGCACTTTTTTGGGATCAAATGATAATGTTACTCCTCAGATCCTTTGGTAAAGGAATGGCTAGATTCAGAATAAGAACAACCTCCCTTTTTTGTAAGCCCCATTTTTGGTAGGGAAAAGAAACTCTATAACACATGTTTTGTTTTGTTGTTCATGTAAGAAATATCACGTGACAAAATATCCAGGCTTCCGTTTACATGGAAAAAGCATCCCTTATAATTATTGCTCATCATATTTAAAATTTTTTTCAACGGATTCCCACGTTCCCAGCTAGAATTATTTCCATGGTATGTGTTATTGGCAGAATGAGTGTTAAATGTAGGGTGAGTAGCATGGGGTGGCTTTCAATATCCTAGCCTGAAACAGCTTTCTTCATTATTACTTTATAAACTGTATTGATCCTGCTAGTCCTGAAAAGGACATTTAGTGAGGCTCTTGTGGTAATTAGAATAGGAAGGTGCTTGCTGTTTTTGCCAGTACAGCATACTAGTTCCCTTGGCCCTTCCATTGTTTGGGTCCACAAGTGATCAATGGGAAGGCAGCTGTTCAGTAATCATGCAGTCCAGTGGCTTGTAGTTGTAACCACTATGGTTATTGATCGTCCTATGGGCTTTAAGGCATACTTATGTATGTCCTGGGGGGAAAAAGAAGAAGATGCAGCTGAGAGTTGCTAACCATGTTCCTGCGGTTAGAATGATTCATTTTTTTTAGCCCCGGTTGGAGTAGTTTCTAAAAGGCTCTGGTGACTGAATGAGCTTAAATTCCTCTACTGTTTTCTTGCAAAAGGTATCAAAACTGAAAGCCTCTGTAAGGGGAAGACCTTTAAATTCAATTTATAAGACAACATTTAGTAAGGGAGGTGGAGAAGATTATCAGGAGTCTTGAGATGTTGTGGGGTTTTTCTGCCAACAAAAGCCACATTCAAAATGTAGTTGGTGAAAGCTTTTTTCCGTATTACTTAGAAGAGGCCATCTTGAATCTATGTAATACTGTTTGACTTAGCACCTTCACTGTATGCTCAATTCTTATTTTGAGCTTTAGGGTCCTCTGAAGGGGTAGTAATGATTCTGGTGGCAAAATCAGAATTTTAACCTTGTTATATAGAATGGGCCTATTTTGTCAATTGGGGATTTGGATCGATCGATTCTTCTACTTGAGGAACATAAATTGCTATTGCTCAGAGACCTTTAGGTTCCCATCTACTTTAAGATCACTCTCTTGGCAACTAGGGGATTAAAAAAAAAAAGATGCTCATGTGTTGCTAGTACACAATTAGAGAATGTGGTTTCTAATGGTTGGATTTAGAGGGATCCTTCCTAAAGAATGAGTTATGTATCTCCTCAAGGAAATCATGGAAAATTCTGTTTATTCTTCAGTGAGTCCTTTTGAATTAATGTTCTTACATTTTTTTCTAAGTCTGTGTAAGTGCTTATGTATAAGTATATAATTGTATAAATATTTATAAATATATTTATATAATTACAATTTCATTTATACCTTGAGTCAAAGTTCTCTCTTTAGATTGGTGACTGAGTAATACCATTTCGGTGTTTTTTCATAGGCTCTCGAGTAACTAGCAGCTTCTGATTTACTGAGGAAACGTGGTTTTCATGTTCCTCAGTTGTATCTCTCAACTTGGATAATGTACTTGCTATCTGAGGAATAGAGCTCTATAGTAGCAAAGGTGCAGTAGAGGGTTAAAAACATGTTGAGTAGACAAGGTCAGAAATGCAAAAATTCAGGGAGGCACAGGGTAAGAACTGCGGGCATGCCCAGCTTTGGTGCTGTGATGGCAGTGCCCCGCTCTCTGCAGTCACAGCTGAAGCCCAAATCTGTCAAAAATGTGAAGTCAAGAATTTTCCCTGTGGGACTCTTTCATCCTTTTGCTTACTAACTTCTCTTTACAAAACGTCTCAAAAACCTGAGGCATGTTCATTAATGATAGGATGTAGTTCTGCCTTTTTGATGAGGTCAGCCGTGGCATATCCATTTATGAGAAACCAAAGGGACTTTTCAACATGGATTTTACTGTGAGATGACCCGAGTATGTATAAAATGATTCAAGTAAGCATATCAAAGACTTAGGGCATGAGATACTGATCCAACTTAGGTACAGCGGGTGTGTCTAGAGTACAAGATGTTGAGGATTTTCTTTTATTGTGAGGCAGAAGTGTAATTATCCCTGGTTTGATACAGAGGCCCATGGGGAGAGTAAATAAGGAGTATCGCTTCGCTCATGAGCTTAATTCACTAAAGGAGTAAGCTTCCTCCAGTTTGTCTTATTTCCTCTGCAAATTCCTTTGCTCTGTGGAGGAGAGATTTTATTGAATAGATTAAATGAAGCTAGTAAGATTAGTTAAAAATAGCCATTCCTTGTAGGTGTTGGAAACAGCTCGAAAGAACAGGGGGGTTGGAAAACGACAAGAGAGACTTTGAGAGTGACAAGAAACAAATACAGGGAGATGGAATGAAAACTAGTGGGGGAAGAAAGTGACAGGAAACACCTTTTGATTGTAATTTAGAAAGGAACCAGAGAAGAGAGAGAACAGCCAAATGAGGGAAGAATGGGAAACTAATTTTGAGTAACTAGCATGTGCTAGGTACTTCCTGTGCATTTTCTCCTTTAATCTTCCTAAGAACTCTACAAAGTGTATATTCTCCCCATTTTGTAGATAGGACACAATTGAAGTTTAGAGAATATGTTCAGGATGTCAGAGCTAGTAATTGGCAAAATCAAAATTGGCATCCAGAGTCCATGTTTTTTTCACTCCCTTGCTGTTGTCTCCTACAACAGGGGAATCAGTTTACCCAAAAGGTTATCTTCCTATTGTTTGGCTCTGTAAATTATCATTTGGTTTTGTTTCCTTAAAGCTTGTGGGATTTGCACTATGCCTATAAATTCTTATTTACACCACTGTTTTGAGGGACTGATGGTTGCTTTTTAAAAAAATGATGCACTGATGAAAATGTGAAAGGAAAATATGTGGCATTATTTGCCAAGAATAAATGGAAAGGGTAAAAAATAATTTTATCTTTTTTTAACCATTTTTGGGAAAAGATAGAGTTATCTTTTCTTTGTCCCACCCATACCAGATTATTGAACTCTCTATGTGTATGTTTTTAAATCTCCTATAACATTCTACTTCCTTGACTCTAAAAGTCAACAAGTATTTACTGAGTCCTTAATCAAAGTTGGAAATATCTTGAAGTCTAATACCTGGTTTCTTCTGTTTTATCCAGTTGGAAAGATACACTACACATGAGATCATTGAAGAACATGTAAATGCTTACCTTTTTGGTGCTGAACAATAATTACAGTAAAAGTTTAGAAAGGGGAAAGACTTAGGCTTTCATTAGGAAAGTCCACAAAAAAAAAAATAAATAAATAAAACCGAAAAGTGGCAAACACTGTAGCTCAAAGTTTTTGACTCACCTGTATTCATTCTTTAGTTCCACCTTTTGTAACTACTAGACTTAGGGCATGACTTTTATCAGTAAGGTACACCCAGCACCCAAGTAGGAAAGGATTATTGATCCCAGGACTAAAGATTTTAGCTAGCAAGGATCTCACTTGGACACTTAGGAAAATACCAGAGGGAGCCACTAGGAACTGGAAAGTGAAGGAAAGATTTCATTTCTCTCCCCAGGTACAAATCAAGTGTATAAAGGGGCACTATGTGTAGGCGTAAGTGCACTTGGGTAACAGCGCTGCTGCTAATAGAGAATTGGACTAGATCAATGGTTCTCAGTCTTTTCAAGTAAAAGGACTTAAAATATTAAAATTCGGCAAGAGTGGGGAATTGTGGGATTAATTATTAATAACATTATGTCCATAGATGAGGAAAATGTAAATGTGCGTATGGAATTGCAGACCCTTTGCAAAAACTCCAGGAACCCACAGACTGTAGACCACCAAATTAGATTATCTTTGAAGTTCTTTCCACTCTAAAATTTTATACTTCTAATTTCTTCTCTTTATATTATCCCTAGGCTAATTAAAAATTTTCTTGTTAATCACTTCCTGTATTTTTTTTGTTTCCAAGTTTCATTTGCCCAGTAACTTAATCTAACCTCACTGTGATGACTAAAATCTCCAAAAAGGAAAATATCGTAGTTCTAGATCTAGTAATGAGCTTTTAAACACAATTCATAATATTTAAAAACTTCATGCTGTGTTTCTAATCGGTGTTAAGTATGACTAAAATGTAATTAATGAGAACCAAATATTTCACTGACACCAGAGTTAAATTTATTTTACCTGTGTGCTTAAACAAAGCACTTTACTGGCTGAGCAGTTGTTAGGAAATTGATTTGTGTAAGTTGTAGAATTCACACTTGGTTTTGGCAGGAACAACTTTTTCAAGATTCAATTAGGCTGACTTTCAAAAATATTTCTTATCTCACAGAGTATATCTCTATTAGGTCATTCATATTCTCTCTGTCTCTGGCCCTCTTTGAGTTAACTACTCAATAGTAAATCATAGGATACTGGTTGATGAGTAAGTGATGGCTTGTGTCAAACTAAATGAGAGTAGGAAGAACCAACCTTAACTGATGAACATGGCAGTTGTCCAGTATTACAAGCCTTAATGAAAAGGCTACTTAAAGACAGCTGTGTCCCATGAATATTCAGCTTCATTGATTTGCCTCGCATAGCATTATCAATTATTGTCTTGACTTGAAACTTAGTATTGCATTGTACACGGTTTAGACTGGTGGCAAGAATGTTCTTTCGTACAGAAAATAACCAACAGAATATCAAGGCACTATCTTGATTTCTCCTATTCTATAGAAGTTTAGTATTTTAGTCTTTGAACACTACTAGAGAGACAGCTTAGAATCAAGAATATTTTTTTATAGAGATTTTGACAACCTTGATAGTTTCCCCATGAAGTGAACTTGTGATTAAATTACTGGATGTGATGATGAGACTGTTAATTAGAAAATCGTTTCATCCTACATTCTCTTTTACTTTGTCATTCTCTATTCTCAATTTTTTTGGACATCCATTCACTGAAAATTAGTCATGATTTTTAATGAAATTAACTATAAGAAATTCCATTTCTAAGTTTGAATAACACTTAAAAATTTTTTCATAAAATATAAGGGAACAATTTGAAACAATAGTTTCAAAACAAGAGTTTCATAGCTCATTTTCTCTCTCTACCTAAAAATTCTTATTCCAAATATAGAACAGCTAGCACCATGATACCCCTCCCCTTTCTTTGGCCTACAGAATGCTGTTGTACTGCTTAGAGTCTCAGTCATTCTCCTAAACATGATCATTTTTGGTTCAAGCCTTTCTTTGCCATATGATCTAGTAGAGTTGGGCAGTCCAATATGAACTACTTCAGTAAAACGATTTAACATTTCAGGAAAGTATTTTCAAGAGATGGCCAGGTTTACTTGGATTAGAGATACAAATACCAATGGTAGTATTTTGCCCAAGAACAATCCCACATTAATCTCTAAATATGGGGAAGTTGCCTTGTTGTACTTAATTCTGTGGCCACAAACAGCAAATTTTTGTTGTTTGCTTATTGGTATTTCCTGTATAGAGATCAAAATGCCCTGAGATTTTTATATCCCTTACGGGGTCACTTAAGTTTTCAAATAGGAAGAATAGTGAAGCTACATGGGACTGAACATAAGAAAAATTTTATCTGTATCAAAACAAGTTATTAATCTAACTGGGCTACCATGAATCATTCATTTATAATATGTGGTAAATAAAATGGGAAGCATTTCAAATCACTGGATAGTTCTGACCTGGAATTCTCCTTTTCTTAAAATCTTTTTTATTTGCTTTTTTCTTAGACTCAGTAAGAGCATCTTAACTAATAAGGGAGAGATTTTGGTCTGGAGCTATTCCCTGCCATTCTTTTTTTTTCTTTTGTCAAGCTTGCTGGTTTTAGAAGAGTACATGTCACTAGATTTCTGTTTCAAATTAATGACACTGCAATGCTGATGCTCAGAAAACTGCTTTCAACAAAATGGTTTGATAGTATGTTCTCAGATTTCTGTGTTCTTAATAATGAAAAATATCAATACATTAAATGGTGTGATTCAAAATATTAAATAGGTTTTTTACCCTAATCATATGTTCTTAACAACTTTTTGATTTATTGCCCTGTAAGTTAAACCTCACATGAAGTTACCATTGTCACCAGAAAATCCCCTTTTACCTGCTAATTAGAATGAAAGTAGTATGTGACCTCCACTTTTTAGTTAATGAGTGTAGCAAGCTTGTACTAGCGGCTGTTTATCTTACCCATTTTGGGACTTGGGCCTTGTTACTTTCTAATGTTTGTCCCTTCAGTTTTGGAAAGGCTATTTCAAACTCTTGCTGGGAAACAGACAGTGAAGCTCTGATAGAATCCTCTAGACTTAGATACAGAGAAATGAGTACCAGTTGATGCTAACATGATACTTGGACTTTGAGGGGCTTTCATCCAAGCTTTGGCATGAATCTGTTAGATACAATTTTTTCACTCCTTTAAAAATCTTTTCTAGAACGGTTTTCCTTTTGATTGTTAACAACTTCTAAGCATCTGGTGTCTTTTTTTTTTAACCCTTTAAGAAAAGTCCTTTTTTGAGTAGGTATTGATTGTTCCATGGATACTCTCAGGAGTGTTTGTAGGCTCTGCATGCTTTGTCATTAGTTTGAATAATGCGTTTTGAATCATCTGGGATGTCCCGATTCTGGCATGTCCTCACTAATTGTGTTTTTAAAACATTTTTCATGTCATTTTCCAATTCCCATCTTATTCAGAGAGGTTAATCAAGGAATGAAATTTGTTTGGGGAATAGGGATGGGGGTGGGTTGGGGACTCGAGTGAAGTCAGCTTGGGGTATTTGCTTTAAAGTGTTTCTCAAGCAGTTCCTAACAGTATTTAGAGATTCCCTGGGAATCCTTCATTCTGGACAAAGTGGCGGTCTTAGTGAGATTTGCGTTTTTAATGCAGGACAGGCTCGAAATTTAATCTGTAGTGTAATTTAGTTATTGAATCCAAGAAGATAATGGACAGAGACAGTGCTCCTATTGTAATGTTTCTGGCAAGTGCTCCCTAAAATGCACATATAGTTGTCAGTTTTCTGGGCTTTTAATCCCATGGTGCTAGGAGATAATTTGTTTCTGCAGCTCTTCTCAAAAGTGGGAGGAAGGGTTTGGGACCAGTGAGCAAGGGGCAACTGGATCATCCACTAAATTTTTTTGTTCACCACACACTAGAGACCCTCCTGTATATCTAGTAAGTGATAATTAAGGTGCTAGGGAAAGCCTTAAATTTGAAGACACATGGAGGCCGTAGAAAATCTAAACTTGGAGGAGAAAAACATGCCGTTAGGTGAAGCAGAGCTGTAACTGCTGGCTAAGACTCAATGGAACTTCCACTTGCTCTAAAACCAGGGAAATCTTAGATAACTGGGTGTGATATATCTATAGATACACATACTCTATAGGTAAATAATTAAAAAGAGGGTCTTTCAGTTGGTGATCCTCTGGTTTTGGCTGTACCAAATTGTGAATATCCTTGCTGTGTTGTACCCAGTTGCTTTATATTGGTACTGCAACTTGAATGGGGGGTGGGGTGGGACATTTGGGGTGGGGGAGGGAGGGGAGTGGGATAAGTCTTTTGAAGACATCAGCTCACTGTGCTGAGAGAGGGACCAAACTCAAGGAAACCTCTGATCTATAAATTCAACTGCTGCATTTTTTTATAAATACATGTAAATGTCCTGTTGTAATATTTGATCTTGGAAATAAAATCAAAAACTTTTCAGTATTAGTTTTTTTTTTTTTTTTTGGTACTGTTTTTGTGAGATAAGACTCCCTAGGTATTATTTCAGTTAATATAATTCAGGTTTCAAGAGCTTGCCCTCATATTCTCATGTTTAGTAGGACACTGAAGTGTATTTATTGACATAGGTTAATTCATCGCATTATCAAGGATAATTTTGCTAGATTCTCTGCTACTAGTAGTATGTTGAACATTGATGGTAATTGCTTTGTAAATGTTGGTTGCGTCATGAAATCACTGGGTGAGTTAGCTTTTTAGGAAAGTAGGAGTCTAGAACTCATACTTGGGCAATTCCAGCATGTAGTCTTTCAGACCAGGAATAATGACTAAGGACACAACTCTAATAAGTGAAGAAAAAAGGAATTTTTAAATTAATGGGAGAAAAGCCAGGAGATAGATTATATTGTGTTATAGAAATTGAGATCACTGCCTAGCTCACAGTAACCCCAGGAATCAGTTTGTGTTATTCCTCTTCCTCTTGTGGAACTATTCCTCGTCCCCATGCTTCAGCAATGTATTCTGATGGGACTTGCCATCTTCTTCCAAGACCTTGTCTCCCTGGCCACATGGACCAGCCAAGGGGTGGGCATAAATACTAAATTGGATTGAGAGATTCTTTCCCATTCTTCCAGCCACAGAATGCTTATCCTTAACCTTAACTAGCCTCACTGTGTGCCAAATATAGAAATATGGTGATGAGCAAAACGTACACAGTCCTGTCCTCAGGGAACTTATTTTCAGTGAATGCAGACAATAAACAAATGAAAAATACTGATTTGATTCAAAGACTGTGGAAAAAAAAATAGAAAAGCAGATAGATAATTCTGCTTTATTTTTATTATTTTTTTAAGATTTGTTTATTTATTAGAGTGGGGGGAGGAGAGGGAGACAGAGTCTTAAGCAGACTCTGTCAGGCGCCTGGGTGGCTCAGCTGTTAAGCATCTGCCTTCAGCTCAGGTCATGATCCCGGGGTCCTGGGATCGAGCCCCGCATTGGGCTCCCTGCTCGGTGAGAAGCCTGCTTCTCCCTCTCCCACTCCCCCTGCTTGTGTTCCCTCTCTCGCTGTCTCTCTCTCTGTCAAATAAATAAATAAAATCTTGGGGAAAAAGAAGCGGATTCTGCTGAACACGGAGCCCAACACGGGATCTCATGACCCTGAGATCATGACCTGAGCCGAAACCAAGAGTTGGACACTTAACCCACTGTACCACCCAGGCGCCCCAAGAATTCTGCTTTAAATAAGGTGTTGGGGAGTTAACATTTAGGCTGAGACCTGAAGGATGCAAAGAAGGTGGCCATGCTAAGAGTAGGAGGAAAACTTCCAAGCAGGACAACAACTGCAGAGGCTGGGGAGCAGCAAAGTTTTTGATGGATCTGAGGTCTTTCGAGAAGGCAGATGGGTCTGGCATGTGGCGAGCAAAGGGAGTGGCATAAAGTGAGTAAAAGCCAGATCATAGAGGCCTTATTAGGCCCTGGTAAGGAGCTCAGATCATGTTTCAAGTGTAATGAGAAGCCATTATTAAGTGGACAGTGAATTGGAGGAGAGCAAGAGTAGAGACAGTTGCAATGATCAAACTGTAAAACAGAGGTCACCTGGGCCAGAGAGTGGCAGAGCACCTGGGAAGTAGGGTATAGAGTAGAGATGCGCTATGAAGGTAGAAATGGAGAGACTTAAAATGTGGGGGAATGAAGGAAAGCAAAATCAAGAACGACTCATTTCCGGCGGTGGGTATGTAGCGGTGTCATTACTGAGGCGGGAAGATGTGATCAGGCAGGTTTGGTGGAGAAGAAATCATTTTGGATGTGTTCATCATGAAACTTCCAAGGGTAGGAGTAGTATAGGACATGTAAGTATGAAGCTTGGAGGAGAGGTAGACTGGAATTGGAGATTAGAAAAATCATCAGCGTTACAGACGGAGTTTAGTTCCATGAGAGAGAATGAGGTCACTAAGGAGAAAGTTAAAGAGGGTCCAGAACCTACGTCTGGAGATCACCAACAGAAAGAGGCCCAGTCAAGGAGATGCAGTCAGTGAGGGAGGAGAAACACTAGAGTGGGGGGTTAAGGGAGCCAAGAGCAAGAATTTCAAAAAGGATCTAGTGGCCAACTATGCCTAATTCTGTCTTGGGGTCAAGTAAGAAGGACAGTGAAGTGTTTATTAGACGGAAAAAGTCATTGGAGACCAAGATCCATCTCAGTGTGCTGTTGGAAACAGAAGCCTAATTGGGGTGGCTTGAAGTTTGTAATATTTTTATACTAATACAGAAAACACAATACTTCCTCTTTAGTGGACTAGTGTAAATGGCAATTCTTTCAACATCTATCTTCCTTTTTTTCTCCCTCCAATTAAGGGAATGTGCTCTCTTGTTTAGTCAGCTGTAAGCGGAGGTTGGAGCCCGCCCACAGGAAGCTGATAGTCTGTCACTCATATTTGGGGAACACTGGCCTGATGGTCATCATCTTTTCCCCTTCCCTTCTACCAGTGAAATGTTCTCAACTTCCTCTATTCCTTGCTCAGACCCCACCTCCAGACCCCACAGTATCCCTTGGAATGGAACATCTGTCTATCCTGTTCTTGTAAGCCTTTCAGTCTTGGTTAATGGTATTAGGCAAATTCTTCTAATCTGTGCCCTTCCTAGACTCCCATTTGCTTCTCCCTAGAGCTATCACCACCAAAGTGGTGACTAGTAGCTGTGTCTCCAGTGGGGCCAAATTTTTTGTCTGTCTGTTTTTTAAGTAGGTTCCACACCCAGTGTGGAGCCCAACATGGGACTTGAACTCACGACCCTGAGATCAAGACCTGAGCTGAGATTAAGAGTCAGTTGCCTAACCGACTGAGCCACCCAGGCGCCCCCAGTCAAGCCAAGTTCTAAGATTATTGACACATCTGTAAAAAGGTAATGTTTAGTTCTATCGTGGCATTCTGCCGGAGTCCAGCTCCAGCCGGGGTGGGTCTCTCGTAGGACAGGACGGCGTCGGCGAATGAGGAGACACAGACACAGGATCAGGTTGCAAGCATCTCCTCCTGATAGCCTCGGAGGAACTTTATTTATATGTAAGGGTTTTTTTTGTTTTTCCATACTTTCGTAACATGTGATTATGGTTTTTTTTACAATTTATCGAGATAATCTTAGATCATTTTCTGGATTACAGACATAGCCTTCTTTCATCTTTCCTTTGTAATGATTAACATGACCTTTATTGATTTCCGCTTACTGACTTTCGCTAAAACTAAAAAACAATACGCAAAGAGAAAGGTGCTAGACAGAGCGTGACCGTCTTGTTACTTTGTTCTATAGCGCAGGAAATATAGTGAACTGTGGAACAGTTTAAGCTGTTCCTTTCTTAGAATCTTGCCACTTCTGAGGCGCTTGGGGGGCCTCGTGGAATTAGCTTCATTATGATTGCTTAGATAGGCGTAACTAAGATGAGTAGTCACTTTATCATGAAACCCCAGAAATATTCCCACAATTACAAAGATTGCCATAAACAGAATGAAAGAGAATAGCAGGAGCCAGCTGTGGAGTCTCCTGTTTTCAGGATCGTCCCCCATACTTGGACCTTGTCAAACAGCATGAGTAGCTTGGCTCGCGTCAGCATTCATCAGGCCTCTGCAACTGTAGAGGTGTAACCCAGGGAAGTGAAGAACTTGAACTAAAGCTGGCCCTACTTAGTAAAACTGCTTATTGCAAGTATGTAGTTTCTAAAAGAAGTATCTTGTTTGTAGGGCTAACCGTTGAATTCAACTGTCACACATTTACCCTAAAGAACAAAAACCTACAGCTGCTATCACAAAGCCCCAAAGAAGTTTGGTCCTTTAAGGGGTTAAAGCCCAGTTCCGCTGCTTCCCCTTGCCTCATGAACACCATTTTGATGATATCCATGGGAGTGTCTGCTGTTGGATTAGCCATTGAGTTGGGAACAGAGATAGCTTCTAAAAATCTGAGTGATATCTGGCAGCCAGCCATCAGATTATTCTGATTACCTAAGTACGAGATGTTCTTTTTTTTTTATTTGACAGAGACACAGGGAGAGAGGGAACACAAGCAGGGGGGGTGGGAGAGGGAGAAGCAGGCCTCCCGCGGAGCAGGGAGCCCGATGCGGGGCTCGATCCCAGGACCCCGGGATCATGACCGGAGCCAAAGGCAGACGCTTAACGATGACTGAGCCACCCAGGTGCCCCTACGTACGAGATGTTCTAACAGATACTGCATATAAAATCCTTTTGCTAAGCTGAGATCCACGAGCAGCAGGAGAGGACTAACCCATTCTAGGCATCTCACATCTTTCTTAATTTTCAAAATAAACTTACAAGGTAAGCATCATTTTATAAATGAAAAACTGAGGTCCAGATTATTACTGGGGCTCAGTGAACTACCCAAGTTCACATAGCTGATAGGTATTTGTAGCAGGAATTGAGACTCAGGTCCCTCAGGTGCCAAAGCATTGCAGTACTGTCTCCAAGAAGAAATACCTTAAGAGAGTTGGGATCTGGGTTGGGGAAAAAAATATCTCAAGCATCAATGTGTGGGACTGTGGAGAGTATACAGACGACAGGATCATTTCCCCAACCTCATTCACTATTGCTCCGAGCAAGTCAAATTCTTCTGCGCTATAATCTCTTTACCTGCATAATAAAGCTAACCTACCATTTATTTTACTTGCTGTAAGTCTGTTGTAAGGATCTAATGAGATAGTTTGTAAATGTGTTTTATAAGGTGAATAAATGTTTCTTCTTACTATAAAACTTTGTGAGTACTCAGCCTAGTTATCTTTTATCAAAATTCAGTTCTCTGGAAGGACACAAGAATTTATTTAGGCTCTAAATGATTCCCTTTTGCAATGAAAATGAAAACTGGCTTCTATTTAATGAACTTTTCAAGAGTTGTTTACTAGCTTTTGCTTCAGGCATATATACCTCTGCATACATAGAAAGCAGCTCATATGTAGTTTAAAAATGTAATAGCCAGTTATAATCATCCCTTCTCATATATGTGCATCGAGGGCTTTCTCAGTATTGCTTGTTTTCATCGTTAGAAATAACATCTCTGCACAGAGACTATGTGTGTTACTTCATCCAGTGCATGAATTAATTCATTAGCCAAGTGACTCCTGAACTCCTACCATGTTCTAAGCTCTGTGGTAGGTTCTGGGTATACAGAGCAGAGTAAGATACAGCCTCGGCCCTCAAGGATCTCACAGTTGTGGGAGAAGAGGCACATAAACAGCACGGGTAAATCAAATGCAGTGAGAAGTAGGCAAAGATTTTTTAAACAGGATACAAAAAAAAAGTGACCATAAAAGGAAAAGATCGGTAAATGGAACTTAACTAAAATCAAGAACTTCTCTTCATCAAAACACATCGTCACTAAGAACGTGGAAAAGCAAACCACGGCAGGAGAAAACATTCATAATACATATATCTGACAAAGGGCTCATGTCTGGAATTATAAAGAACTCCCACCAACCAGTAAGGAAAAGACAAAGAACCAATAAAAACTGGGCAAACGACTTGAGCAGGCACTTTTCAAAAAAAAGGTTCTCCAAACGGCCGGGTAAAGTGCTTACTCATCAAGAAAATGAAAACAAAAACCACAATGAGATACTACTAAACCACTGGAATACCAAAAATTAAGAATACATAAATCTTAATTATTTTTTAAAGTTTTTTTTTAATTTTTAAGTAATCTCTACACCCAGTGTGGACTTCAAACTTACAACCCTGAGATCCAGAGTCGCACGCTCCACTGACTGAACCAGCCAGGCGCCCCCACAAATCTTAATTATAAAACCTAGTGATGGGGCGCCTGGGTGGCTCAGTCGGTTAATCGTCTGTCTGCCTTCGGCTCAGGTCATGATCCCGGGGTCCTGGAATGGAGCCCTGCACTGGGGAGATTTATGTATTTTACTGTGTGGATATAATACCTACATTTAAAAAATAATAATGGGGCGCCTGGGTGGCTCAGTTGGTTAAGCGACTGCCTTCGGCTCAGGTCATGATCCTGGAGTCACAGGATCGAGTCCCGCATTGGGCTCCCTGCTCGGCAGGGAGTCTGCTTCTCCCTCTGACCCTCCCCCCTCTCATGCTCTCTCTATCTCAGTCTCTCTCTCAAATAAATAAATAAAATCTTAAAAAAAAAAAAGAAAAGGCAAAACCCTATTAAAAAAAATAATAATAATAATAATAATGAAGTACAGTGAGAATCTGGAGAGAGAAGTGCCTAACCCTGAGTGAAGCAATCAGGGAAGGCTTCCCCGGGGGTGTTTGAACTGGATCTTGAATAAGAGCTTTTCAGAAGAGGGTCAGAGTCGCCCATACAGACGGCACCCCGAAATGCTCCGCGCCCCGGTGGGCAAGGCGACGGTGACCTGCGGCTTGAACAAAGAAGTGGGAAGGCTAGCGGAGGAACCCGGCTGCACACATCCAGTCAGCTGAGAGCAAAGGCAGGAGGGCCGTGAGGAAAACGGGGTGGCGGCTCTCCTCAGTGCTGGTTTTCCCAAGAGCCCCGATTCTGCAATGAGTGGAACAGATAGTGTGTGAAAAGGTGTCGCTGCTTTGGGAGAGAAGGGAGCATAAGGCATTTCTCATGGGTGCTTGTCTGACTCACTGAGACATTTTAGCTCACGAGGCCAGGCCTCCCGGTTCCTTCCTCGGGTCACATGAACATGAGCCGCGGCTGGGTCATCGGGAGAGGGCTCTCCGAGGGCAGGAAAGCTCCCCGGCTGGAGGCCCGTGGGCCGCGGGTGGGGGCGCACACGCCCTCACACGCCCGCCCGCCCGCCCGGCGCGCCTCCGCTTGCGTCCAGAGCCCGCCTGGCCTCTTGGAGAGGCCGGGGCCCTCCGGCTGGCCTTGCGGGAGTGCCAGCCGGGCCGCGGGGCACGGGCCTGCTCTGAAGACGGAGCCCTTCTCCAGCCCCTTCCTCTCCCGTCCTGAGCCCTGCCCCCGGATGCAGGTAAGCCGAGAGGAAAGGCCCAGGGAGCCGAGGGCCGGGGAACAGCGGGGCCTCCCCGCTGAGAGCGCCCACGTCCGACTGCACGGAGCCCTGGCTCTGGCTCTGAGCCGTTGTGCGGCTTCAGGCCGTCGCTGGGCCTTCGCTTCGCCTCCGTCTGTCACCTGCGGGCTTCCGCCGGGGCTTAGAATACATTCCCTGCCCTGCTCTGCCTTGTTGTCGGTGACGTTTGGGCTTGGTCAGCCCGTCTCCTGCGGGACGAGATCAGGGGATCCTCGGTGCGCTTCTGTGACACCTTCCGAGGGACACCGCGGCTCAGCACTTGCTTCGAGCCTTGTCGCTGGCCCCATGAGGCTTTCAGCTCCTCAAGAAAAGACACTGTCTCCGAGTCACTGATGCTATCTCCGGCTTCTGGCATTGGGACCGGCAGAAAGCAGACACACTTAATTGGTAGTGACTGAGGAAGGGATGAAAGAAAAGGCTGTCCAGGTGACGGGGGAGGTAGAGAGACACACAAAGAATTTGCCGTCTCTTCCTCCACGTGACTCAGCTGGTCACTCCTGTTGTTGCCTAGACATCTGGCCGAGGACTTGGGCACCCAGCCAGGATCTCACGTTAGAACAGGGCCTCCCCCCTTGGGGCGCCTGGGTGGCTCAGTTGGTTAAGCGACTGCCTTCGGCTCGGGTCATGATCCTGGAGTCCCGGGATCGAGTCCCGCATCGGGCTCCCTGCTCAGCGAGGAGCCTGCTTCTCCCTCTGACCCTCCCCCCTCTCATTCTCTCTCTCTCAAATAAATAAATAAAATCTTTAAAAAAAGAGAGAGAAAAAGGGCGCCTGGGTGGCTCAGTTGGTTAAGCGACTGCTTTCGGCTCAGGTCATGATGCTGGAGTCCCTGGATCGAGTCCTGCATCAGGCTCCCTGCTAGGCAAGGAGCCTGCTTCTCCCTCTGACCCTCCCCCCTCTCATGTGCTCTTTCTCTCTCATTCTCTCTGTCTCAAATAAATAAATAAAATCTTAAAAAAAAAAAAGAACAGGGCCTCCCCTAAAGCCCGGTTTTAAAGTTTTACCTTATGATCCTGCTTATCTCTTCAGAGATCAAAGTAGCCGACCTCTTGGCTAATCTCCGGGCTCACATTTGTGGAAGCGTTTCTCAGAATGTTGTGATTTCTTGCGGAACAAAGTCAGGGAGAGGAAGTGAAATGCAGACCGGTTTGAATCGGTGGGAGCAGCAGCGACAAGTGCTTTTAGCAGGAGATTAACGGACAGCCGGGATTCTCTGAGTTCCACTCATCCCGAAGGCCATGCTCAACTTCTTAATTTTCCCTCTGCATGTTTATATTCTTTAGTTTCCCTTATAAAACTGTTTTCCTGATAGAAAAATTTCCGTAGAAGAGATTGTCAGGGCGGTTTCTTTTGGTTATCTACGTCTAGACAGGCCTTACTCACGGGTGGGATGACTTGCAAGCGGCCGAAGGCGCACCTGAATCACAAAACTCCCCCCAGCCCGCGGTCTGCGGCCCTGGCTTGAAAGTTCAGCTGCACACAGGTCCTTGCTTGGGCCCCTGACAAAATGTCAGTCATCTGGGAGGGGGTGTGGGTTAAAGTCGTTTACTTGCTAACACCCTCGATTGGTTAATTTGCTCCAACACAGAGACACACCAAGAGCCCTGCACCCGATGACGGGACAGTCTGGGAGGGAGGCTGCCCAGACAGGCACTTACATCCCAAAGGCTGGTGGGCAGACTGTGGGGAGGATTGTTTTCCTACAGGTGTCCTGTCTTCTGACAACAGGGCCTATTCATCACCCCGAGGGCCCGAGAACTAGGAGCAAGCAGCCAGGACTTCAGGAAAAGCGGCCTCCTCTCGTGGGCCAGCTGGGAGTGGGCGCTGGGGAGGAAACACAGCATCCCTCCTGGTCCCTGGTCCCCGCCCTTCCCTCTAGCCTCCTTGCATCCCTGGGGTAAGGGTCACTGTTCCTTCATTTCCTTCCCCTACTCCCCCAGCGCATGCCCCCGCTGTCCTGGAGGCCTGAACTTATTTCATCCGGGGCAAGTTCTTTTATTCACTGTAAGAAAAATGGCTTAGAGAGCAAATACCCTGCGGGGAGGGCACACAGTGAGGGCAACTCTCCACACTAAGACATTAGCAATTGCAGCAGGAAGTTCTCCACTGGGAGGAGTTGCAGGAGGTGAGTGTGGACTCTGGGATTAGGGGAAGCAAAGATCACTAGAGGCTGCGGGGGGCTGGGGAACCAGGGGGAGGGCGCAGGAGCATACCACCAATCCAAAGGCCTGCTCGGTGCTCTGTCTGGCTCCAGTCTCTTTACCACAAGACAAATGGACAATGCTAGGCTAATCAAGTTCTTGTTTTTGAAAAACTGAGTTCGTTAAGTTGTAAAACTGTTTTTAAGAAGGTATGATAAGGGCGCCTGGGTGGCTCAGTTGGTTAAGCATCTGCCTTCGGCTCAGGTCATGATCCTGGAGTCCCGGGATCGAGTCCCGCATCGGGCTCCCTGCTCGGCAGGGAGTCTGCTTCTCCCTCTGACCCTCCTCCCTCTCATGCTCTCTGTCTCTCATTCTCTCTGTCTCAAATAAATAAATAAAATCTTTAAAAAAAAAAAAAAAAGAAGGTATGATAAAAATAAAAATTAAGGATAGTCATTTTAGGAAGGAATCCAGGAAAATAGTAGAATTTTTTTTTTTTAAGATTTTATTTATTTATTTGACAGAGAGAGACACAGCGAGAGAGGGAACACAAGCAGGGGGAGTGGGAGAGGGAGAAGCAGGCTTCCGGCTGAGCAGGGAGCCCGATGCGGGGCTCGATTCCAGGACCCTGGGATCATGACCTGAGCCGAAGGCAGACGCTTAACCATCTGAGCCACCCAGGCGCCCCAAAAGAGTAGGATTGATAGGCACACGTAGATCTTCAATAATATTAGTGGTAACGACCTGTTTTGTAAGCTGGTCCCATTTACATGGGTGTTGTTTAATTTTTCATACGGCTTATAAGTACAAATATATACACTATGTTTAATTCTCCAAACTCTGAAATATTTTATTACATATATATTTGGATGTAGATGTGTAAAAGAGAGATGGGGGCTCTGGTTCACACATATTTTCTGATTACGTGCAAAGTAATGTGTTGGGAGGGGAGTGTCAAGAGTCTTAGGTCAGACAGACCTGAATCACAAAGCAGCAACAATCAACTTCTTGGGGATGTCAAGGCACTGATTTTTTTCAGATCCATACTGACACAAGTCTACCCAAATATCACCAACCCTATTGTAATTCATGTTTAGAAAAATGACAAGAAAATAAATATATAAATAAATAAAAATTTAAAAAAAATAATAAAGAAAAACGACAAGAAGTTCATGTATCAGTGAAAATGTAAAAAGGAGAAATGGCTATAAGTAAAAGTGTGGAGGAGGCATTTTACAACTTACCTAGATGAGACATTTAATTTTGCAATCCATTTCATTGATGTATAATTAAAGCACAATAAAATTGACCAATTTTCAGAGCCCAGTTTGATGAGTTTTGTCAATACATTTAGTTGCATATTCACTACCAGAATCTAGACACAGAACACATCTCCATCACCTCCACAAGTTTCCTAATGCCCTTGTATTGATCCCCTCTCCCATTCCCTAGCCCTGGTAGCCACTGATCTGCTTCCTATTACTAGGTTTCCTTTTCTAGAATTTCATAGAAATAGAATCATACAGTGAGTAGTCTGTATGATTGTTTCTGTAGTGGTTTGTCTCTGGCTTCTGTCACTTAGCATAATGCTTTTGAGAGTCATCCATATGGTTGCATGTATTGGTAGTTTATTCTGTTTTGTTGCCTCATGGAGGTACTCATTTGCATGGATATGCCACAATTTATTTATTCACTTATTGATGAACATTTGAGTTATTTCTCATTTTTTAACTGATTTTTTTATCATGGTAAAATGTATATATCATAAAATTTGTTATTTTAACAATTTTATTTATTTATTTATTTATTTATTTATTTTTATTTTATTTTTTTTTTTTTTAAGATTTTATTTATTTGACAGAGAGAGATACAGCGAGAGAGGGAACACAAGCAGGGGGAGTGGGAGAGGGAGAAGCAGGCTTCCCGCCGAGCCGGGAGCCCGATGCGGGGCTCGATCCCAGGACCCTGAGATCATGACCTGAGCCGAAGGCAGTTGCCCAACCAACTAAGCCACCCAGGCGCCCTATTTTAACAATTTTAAAGCGTACAATGTAGTGGCATTAATTACACTCAAAATATTGTGTAACCATCACCACTATATATTCCTAAAATTCTTTCATCACCCCAAACAGAAACTCTGTAACCATTTAACAATAACTCCCCATTTTCTGCTCCCGGTCCCTGGTGACCCCTAATCTACTTTCTGTCTCTATGAATGTGCCTACTCTGGATATTTCATATAAGCGAAATCACACAGTATTTGTCCTTCAGTGTCTGGCTTATTTCATTTAGCATAAGGTTTTCAGGTTTCACCCATGTTGTAGCATGTTTCAGAACTTCTTTCATTTTTACAGCTGAATAATATTCTGTTGTGTAAATATGCCACATTTTGTTTATCTATTTATCTTTCGGTGCACACTTAGGTTGTTCCCATATTTCTAATTTGTAGTTATTGTGAATAAAGCTGCTATGGATATTCAAGTCCTAATCTTTGTGTGGACGTGTGCTTTCATTTCTCTTGGATAAATACGTAGAAGTGGAATTACCTGATCATTTGGTAAGTAAATGCTTAACTTTATAAGAAACTGCTAAGCTAATTTACAAAGTGGCTTGTAACATTTGTATTCTCATTAGTTACCTATGAGAGTTCCCGTTGCACCACATCTTCACCAACACTTGGTAGAGTCCAACTTTTGAATGGAAATAATTCCGGTGGGTGTGTAGTAGGATCTTATTTTAGTTTTAATTTGTGTTTCCTTATGTAAATGATGTTGAGCATCTTTTCCTATTCTTAGCTGTCATCCATATATCTTCTTTTGTGAGATGAAATGAGGTGTCTGTTTAAATCTCTTTCCCATTTTTAAAATCAAGCTGTTGTCTTATTATTACAGAGTTTTAAGAGTTCTTCATATAGTCTAGTTACAAGTCTGTTATCAGACCTGTATGTATTCGCATTCACATACATATTTGCAAAATTTATGTTGTGAATACTTTCTCAGTCTGTGGTTTCCTTCTTCATTGTTTTCATGGTGTCTTTTTTTTCTTAAGAGAGAGAGAGACAGAGAGAAAGAATCTTAAGCAGGCTCCATACCCAGCTTGGAGTCGGATGTGGGGCTTGATCCCACAACCCTGAGATCATGACCTGAGCCAATATCAATAGTTGGACGCTTAACTGACTGAGCCACACAGGCCCCCCCATGGTATCTTTTGAAAAGCAAATTAATTTTGAAGTAGTTTATCATTTTTATGGGTTGTACCTTTTGTCTTTTATCAAATAAATCGCTAACTCAAGATCCCAGGGGCACCTGGTTAGCTCAGTCTGTGGAGCATGTGACTCTTGATCTCAGGGTTGTGGGCTCAAGCCCCATGTTACATGTAGAGATTACTTAAAAATACAATCTTTTTTTTTTTTTTAAAGATTTTATTTTTTTATTTTTTTGACAGAGAGAGACATAGCGAGAGCAGGAACACAAGCAGGGGGAGTGGGAGAGGGAGAAGCAGGCTTCCCGCAGAGCAGGGAGCCCGATGCGGGGCTCGATCCCAGGACCCTGGGATCATGACCTGAGCCGAAGGCAGACGTGTAACGACTGAGCCACCCAGGTGCCCTAAAAATACAATCTTAAAAAAAACAAAAAGATCCCAATGTTTTTTCCTTTGCTTTCCTCTAGAAATTTAGTAAGTTTAGACCTATGGTTCATTTCTAACTAATTATTGAATATAGTTTGCAGTAATAGTCATGGTATATATTTTTTTGTTTTGCATATAGATTGTTCCAGCACTGTTTGAGATTATCCTTTTCCCATTGAAATACTGTCTTTTTAAAAAATCATTTGCTAATATGTGTATGTCTATTTCTGAATTCTCTAGTCTGTTCTAGTGGTCTGTATGTCTTTATACACCAGCACTTTACTTTTTGTAACTTTACTGTAACTTTATAATGTCTTGAAATCAGATGGTGTATGTCTTCCAACTTTGTTCTTTTTCAAAATTATTTTAGCTAATCTAGGACTTTTGCATTTCCATATAAATTTAGATTCAGCTTGTTAATTTCTACAACAAAACACTGCTAGGATTTTGACTGAGATTGTATTGAATCCACACATCAATTTAGAGAGAACTGACATGTTAATGATAGTGAATCTTTTGATCCACAAATTTGGTATATCTCTCCATTTATTTAGGTCTTTCATTTTTCTCAGCAATATTTTGTTATATTTACCATACCAAAGTCTTGCACATATTTTGTTAAATTTATCCATAAGTATTTTCTATTCTTATGCTATTTATTATTTTTTTATTTTTATTTTTTAAAGATTTTATTTATTTGAGAGAGAGAGAGAGAACACAAGAGGGATGAGGGGCAGAGGGAGAAGCAGACTCCCCACTGAGCAGGGAGCCCGATGTGGGGCTCAATCCCAGGACTCCAGGATCATGACCTGAGCCGAAGGCAGACGCTTAACCGACTGAGCCACCCAGGCGCCCCTAAATATTGTTTTTTAAATTTTTACAATTTATCATCGCTTGTATACAGAAATACAATAGAATCTTTGTATATTAATTTTTTATTCTGTAACTTGCTAAACTCACTTAGTAGTTCTAGTAACTTTTTGATAGATTCCTTTGGTTTTTCTACATAGATAATCATGTTACCTTACTTCTTTCTTTCCTGTCTGTATGGCTTTTGTTTCTTTTTATTTTCTTATTGCACTGGATAGGATTTCCTGTACTACTGAATGGAAGTGGTGACAGTGGACATCTCTAAAATGACATCTTTTAAAGAGAGAGGATGACACCTTTAAATATTTTTTCCTGTCCCAAATAGAAATAATCACTGGCTGTATAGAGGTACAAGCAAAATATGATGGGATGAGTTGGGGTTGGCAGAAAATGGAGCAATTAAATCCTATCCATTGGGGACTGTTTATAGAAGGCAAAGTTTTTAAGCAAGTTCTTTGGCTCTTCTTGATCTGACCTGGGCAGGTGACATTATCTGTAGTCTGTTTCCCCCACCCTACCCTTGCTATGGGTGTTCCCCTTCCTGATGCTTCCAGCCAACAGAGCTACCATGACTCTCTATCCATTGCTTCCAGGATGCTGTCCTCTCCTGATGTGATGGCATGCTCACGGACCTGCTCCCGCATCCTGGGGCTGAGCCTCGGGACTACCGCCCTGTTTGCTGCTGGAGCCAACTTGGTTCTCCTCTTTCCTAACTGGGATGTGACCTACCTGTTGAGAGGCCTCATTGGCAGGCATGCCATGCTGGGCTCTGGGCTCTGGGGAGGAGGACTCATGGTAAGTGTTTGGAGTTTCTTGGGTGTGAATTCCCCAAACACCCCTCAGGGTGGAGCAGGGAAGTGGCAGGGGAGTAGTGTTTTGGTTCTTTGCAAGAATGCTTCGTCTTGGGGGTGCCTGGCTGGCTCAATGGGTAGAGCATGTGACTCCTGATCTCAGGGTTGTGAGTTTGAGCCCCACATTGGGCGTAGAGATTACTTAAAAATAAAATCTTAAAAAAAAAAAAAAAAAAGAATGCTTGATCTAGCAAGCTGGTCTTGGGTCTATAGCAATTCCAAGGAATAGGTGACTCTAGGAAGACTTGTCAGGTCTTGTTGCTGAACTTTGGCTTAGGACTAGAAGGCTGGGTATAAACATTGCCATCCAGAGAGTCAGGTCAGGCTAGTCATCCAATTGGGTCCTGACAGTCAAAGCGAAACCCTCTGGGAAAGATAGGATTATCAAATTCATGTGAGGTGCCCAACGGATCTATTTCAAAGGCACAAGTGGCAGCTAGAAATGTCGATTACCCAATCTCTTCTTACCATTCTTCTCCCCTCTCCCAGGTACTCACTGCAGCTATCCTCATCTCCTTGATGGGCTGGAGATATGGCTGCTTCAGTAAGAGTGGGCCCTGCCGAAGTGTAAGCACCAGATTCTACTCTTCTAATACCTAGAATGTCCCCACATCCTATTACTCTATAGGCAGACTGGTAAAGAGGCAATTTCAGTCTTGGGGCTTGAAGTTAGGTCCTGACTGTACCCTTCATAACCCTAAGCTGTTGGGCAAGTTCCTTAACCTTTCTGAGCTCAGGTCCTCATCTATAAAATGGGAGTGAACAGGATCAAGTTAAGGGAGTAAGTGCTTAATGAGCCAGAAATGTCTATATACATGTGAGGAACTGCTACTATTACTTTAACCTACTGAACAATATGGACATGAGCTAAATGCACTGCACTCATGTGTCATTGATAGAAAATTTCCTGGGGTGCCTGCTGGCTCAGTGGGTAGAGCGTGCACTCAATCTCCAGGTTGTGAGTTCAAGCCCCATGTTGGGTGTGGAGTCTGCTTAAAAAAAAAGAAAGAAAGAAATGTCCTGGCTGTTTTGTTTAATTTTTCTTAGAGTTGGAAGGTTTTCCAGAAATCATCTAATGACTAGATTCTAGTCTAACCCCTCCATTTTACAGAAAATGAAACTGGGGCCCAGAGTAAATTTGCACTTACAACTACAGTGGCATTCATATAGATCTGAAAAATCTCACTACATAGGTAGTATAAGATATATTGCTTATTCAGTCTCAGACACATGAATTTGTGGCCTCCTTACAGTAACTCTAGAGCCTACTTTGATATCTGCCGCCCACGTATTGGGAACCCCACTGATTCAGAGTTATATGTTAAAGAATTAAATATAAACACCCACACATTTCATTCACTATCTGTTCTCAGTCTCATCTGGTTTTCCCCTAGGCGAGTGAGTTGTTCTCAGACTTGTGTGTGCATCAGAATCCCTTCAGGGTTTGTTAAAACATATTGCTGGCTCCACCCCCAGATTTTCTTTCTTCCTTTTTTTTTTTTTTAAAGAGATATTGTCTGAGGAAAGGAGAAGGTAGGAGAGACAGGAGAGTTGACTTTATTTATTTATTGTTTTTAGAGGTGAGGGAGGAGAGAGACAGGGAAAGAGAGAATCTTAAGCAGGCTCCACGCCCAGCGCAGAGTCTGATGCAGGGCGTGATCTCATGACCCTGAGATCATGACCTGAGCTGAAATCAAGAGTCAGACGCTTAACCGACTGAGCCACCCAGGCGCTCCAGCCCCAACTTTTCTGGTTCAGAAGGTGGAGTGAAGCAGGAAGTTGTCCATTTCTAACAAGTTTTCAGGTGATGTGATGCTGCCAGGGCCGGGACCCCATTTTGAGCATTTCCCTGGCTCCTCCCCAGTTCCCAACTAGTGTGACATTGTGGGAAAAGGACTCTATGATTCCATATAAAAATTATATCTATATTTTATTTAAATTTTTAAAATATGTATTCTTTCGAAGGGAGAAAACGACCTTGTATTCTGAGAAAGAAGCCAATTTAAAAGCAAGCTAGACTCCTGCCAGGAAATGAACTCATTGTTATCTTTGGGGAGGGAAGTGAGTGGTGCACAGACTAAGCGCAATGACAGAACAGGAGTCCCTTCTGAGCTGACTGCAATTTCTGTCTCTGTCTCCCTCCCTCCCTTCTTTTCTACCTCCTTCCCTCTTTCCTCCCTTGTTTCCTTTCATGTTTGATTTGAGAAAGAGAGGAATCAGGGGTAGGAGCTTGGAACTTTTGGAAATACAGCTTTCCCTTAAAAGAGTCAGAAATGAGCATGCGGGGGATGCGTGGGTGGCTCAGTCGTTAAGCATCTGCCTTTGGCTCAGGTCATGATCTCAGGGTCCTGGGATCGAGCCCCGCATCGGGCTCCCTGCTCTGCGGGAAGCCTGCTTCTCCCTCTCCCACTCCCCCTGCTTGTGTTCCCTCTCTCGCTGTGTCTCTCTCTGTCAAATAAATAAATAAAATCTTTAAAAAAATTTTTAAAATAGTAAAAAAGAAAAGGGCATGAGATGACCATCCAACCCTTCTACCCAGAGGCTGTTTAAACTTTTTTTTAAAGATTTATTAATTTATTTGAGAGAGAGAGAGAGCGCACGCACAGGCGCGAGTGGGGGGGTGGTGAGGGGCAGAGGAGAGGGATAATATTAAGCAGACTCCATGCTTAGTGTGGAGCCTGACACAGGGCTCGATCTCACAACACAGATCATGACCTGAGCCAACATCAAGAGTCAGTAACTGACTGAGCCACCCAGTGGCCCCTGAGTGTAAAAGTTTTTGATGCCAACCTGCTGAGAAGCTCTGGAGGGAGAGCCTACCGGGTCAGGGAGACCGAGGTCCAAGTGCCACTGCTTCCCCCTTCTCATGCGTTCTCTCCCATCCCTTCCTGGCTCTACCCATTGACCCCTCATCAGCCACCCTGCCTTGGTTATGCTTTAATGGAGGTGCCAGGGGCAGCATTATTCCCATGTGATTTGATGGGGAAGAGCCCGAGTGCCAGAGAAGTTAGGCTTGTCCAGATCACCCCATCACCTGGTCATGACCCGGTCTCACCTCGTGGCTTCTTCCCTCCCTCTACAGATGCTCACTTCTCTGCTGTCCAGTAGCCTGGCTTTTCTTGGAGCCTTGATTTGCTTTATCACTTCCGGAGTAGCCCTGAAAGATGGTCCATTTTGCATGTTTGATGTCTCATCCTTCAATCAGACGCAAGCTTGGAAATATGGTTACCCATTCCAAGACTTGCATAACAGGTAAATGGGCGGAAACTTGGATTTTCAGTCTTCTCAGAGAGACAAAGACAGACAGAAAGACACACAGATGGCCTACAAACTCCTCTTGGTCACACGTTCTAGCATCTCCCTTCTTTGATGCTTGGCATTTTGCAGGTGCAGTAACAACAGTCACCCTCAAGAGTCTAGACCTATGGCCTTAGCTGGGGGGAGGCCCCAGGTTTCTACTGAGGTTGTTTACTTGGCTTTTCTTAGTTATTCCTCAACCCCTGGTCTCCCTCCCCTTTTTTTTTCTTTTGGGATAGGAATTATTTGTATGACCATTCCCTCTGGAACTCTGTCTGCCTGGAGCCTTCTAAAGCTGTTATTTGGCACGTGGCCTTCTTCTCCATCCTTCTGTGCATCAGCCTCCTCCAGATTCTCCTGGTGGTCATTCATTTCATCAACAGCTTCCTGGGCCTTTTCTGCAGCCTCTGTGAGAAGTGATAGGGAATGCCCTGTCATGCATGAGAGTTTTCCTCCGAAGCTGCCTTGAATCCCTTCTGCAGGATGGATTATAACCGAACTTTCCTTTTAGGTATATGCCTGTAGTGATAATAACAGTAATGATTCCTTGCACATGTATTGAATGATATATGCATTTGAAATCACATTGTAAACTGCAAGATGATATGTTAGTAGAAGGAATAATTAAGTCATTATTATTGTGCAGGAACTTACAGTTCATAAATGTCCTCCAGCCATGGTCTCATTTCAGCCTCTCAACAACTCCATAAAACTGGCCACATGTCACAGATATAGAAGTTGAAGCTCCTAGAGCATAACGGACTTGCTGCCTAAAACCACTCAACTGGATTCAGGGAAAGTCAGTACCTGAGCTCCAATCTTCTAAATTCAAGTTCACCAGTTGTTATGGATTGAATTGTGGGTCCTCAAAACTCATAGGTTGAAGCCCTAACTCCCAATGTGACTGTATTTGTAGAACCCTTAGGAAAGTAGTTAAGGTTAAATGAGGTCATAAAGGTAGGACCCTAACCCAGTAGGACTGGCATCCTTATAAAAAGAGGATGAGGGGGCGCCTGGGTGGCTCAGTTGGTTAAGCGACTGCCTTCGGCTCAGGTCATGATCCTGGAGTCCCTGGATCAAGTCCCACATCGGGCTCCCCGCTCGGTGGGGAGTCTGCTTCTCCCTCTGACCCTCCCTCCTCTCATGTGCTTGCTCTCTCTCATTCTCTCTCTCTCAAATAAATAAATAAAATCTTTAAAAAAAAAAAAAAAAAGAGGATGAGACACCAGATCTCTCTCTCCACACAAGCACAGAAGAAGCCATGTGAGGACACAGCCAGAAGGTGGCCACCTGCAAGCTAAGGAGGGGGCCCTCAATAGAAACCAACCTTGTTGGTACATTCATGTTGGGACTTCCAGCCTCCAGAAAATAAATGTCTGTGGTTTGAGCCACTCAGTCTGTAGTATTTTGTTATGGCAGCCTGGGCTGATTAACTCACCAGTATTCTTTTCTTTAGTGTTCAGTGCGGTTCAATAAGTGCTAGACACTGGAGTGTGGCCGACACTGCTGTGTGTGCAGTGGATCCAAAGATGACCGAGACATGGTCCTTGACCTCGGACCCTGTCTTGTCCTTGAAGAGCTCATGATCAGGTTAGGGGAACAAACACATCTATGAACAATTTCAATGTCCTATGGTAAGGGCCATGTTAGAGGTCAACAGGACACAGAGAGAGTTCAGAGGAACAGTGAACCTCCAAGGAGAGGGTCTGTGAGAGATCAAGGAAGGCACCCCTTGTGTCTGAGCTGATTCTTGAAATAGCCCAAAAAAGAGGGAAGGAAGGGATTCCCCAGCAGAGGAAACAGCACATTCCAAGGCATGGAGGGGAGACACAGGATGGAGAACTGTGGTGCCACAGCAGTTTCTCATGTGGTACGTGGAGAGCAGAGCACCTCCCTCTCTCCCATTTCAGGATCTTGGTCAGGAGGTAGTGCTGGATGGTGAGTAGAGTCAGGAGTGGGGTAAAGGAAATCTGGGTGAGAAAGTCTGATGGGCAGGGAACAGGATGAAGCAGGCAGGAGCAGCCTGGGAAGAAACAGGAAGATGGGTACTAGCAAGAGAAGAGGTAGTGGACAAGTCCAGGGAATGAGTTGGAGACCTGGGGCTCTGGAACCACAGAGGGGACAAAGCCAGGAAGGGAGTGTGTGGGCCCAGGTGCTGCTGTATCCCCTCCATGGTCCCCTGGACCCCAGCACTGTCCCAGGTCAGGGAGGAGCCGCTGAAGCACCAGATGCCTCCAGAATACAGAATTCCTCTGTTACTGGGGGTGGGGGATGGGGGGGGGAGAAGGGAGGGGAAGGGAGAGGAAAACAGGGGTGGGGAGGAGAATGGGTGAAGAGGGAGTTCTGCATTCATTCCACCGTGGGCTCCATAGTCCTCCACACCTGGTTGTTGGCTGCCCTCTGTGGGCTCAGAGGACACCTGCATCCCCTTCCTTCTCCTTACATCCCAGGACTACCTCACACTCAGAATGGGCTTTCACCGTGGTTTTTTCTCCCAAATGAAAGCTACATCTGGCTCTGGGCTTGGCTTCCAACCAGGTTTTGGGCAGAGGGGCTTCCGTTAATCTGTTCATCAGGACAGTGTTAACATTTTGTTAAGAAAAAAAGTTGTCTGTCCCTTACCTTGTGTATGCCTTCTTGAGTATCATCATGGAATGAAGAGGAAGTTGCATTGTGTCCGATCCTGCTCAGAGAAAAGTAAGCCCATCTTGGGAATAGGTTGTTCTTCAGCTTTCTGTTATAGCAGTTGGCACTCTACTTAGCCCATCGCTCCCCAGCCCCATCTGTTCACTCTTTAGGGCAAGGCCTGGGTTTTATTCACTTTTGTAACTCCAGCCCCTAGCACAGATGGAATAATAAAATGTTTATTGAATTAAATTACACATCTAATCTTCTGTGTTTTTAGTTGGACCGTAGTAGATAGGATGAGAGAAGTATAACTGAAGAAATCATAAAAGGGGTGAGAAAGTCTGCATACTACGAGTATGATTTCTTAAGCCTGGTGAAACAGCAAGAAGAAAACACTATCTGCCCCTAGGAGACACTGGATTTCTGTGCCAGGGTAGTCTGTGGATGCATGACCCCAGCCAAAGATGAGGCTGGTGCTGCTGAACCAAGGGGCAGCTAAAGAGAGCCTGGTTGAGGCAGCACTGAGCTGATGCTGGGTGCACACCTAGCCCCATGGCCCTAGCACAGAACCCCGTCTGCTGGCCAGTGCCAGGAGGAAGGTTCAGCAACCCAGCCAGATCATGAAAGGTCTTATTGCAGTGAATGCTGGGGAGATGGTCATAAAGAACCATTGAAAGATTTCAAGCAGAGCAGTGACAAAAGAAAGCCATTCTGGAGACAATGCGAAGGGCAGGCTGGGAAGGTGAAGTTCCTGGGAGTTTACTGGCGTCAGGGAGACCAATCTAGGCTATATTACCAAGAAGACACACTGTAAGCCAAAACCTGGAATAGTAAAATTAGTCTCTACTGGAACTTGCAAAGGTATACTTTTATAGAAACAACTCCCTTTCCATCTTAGAGGAGGAAGTTTGGCAATTTGTTAACCCAACCAATAGGAAGCCTGGATGGATATTGGGGGAATTTCTTTTCTTATTTTATTTTTTTAAGATCCTATTTATTTATTTGAGACAGAGAGAGCGCACGAGTGGGGGGAGGGGCAGAGTGAGAGGGAGAAGCAGACTCCACACTGAGCAGGGTGACTGATGGGGGGCTTGATTCCAGAACCCTGGAATCATGACCTGAGCTGAAGGCAGACACTTAACCAACTGAGCTACCCAGGCGCCCCTTTTTCTAGTTTTTGAAGCTGGTAGAGGCCAGGATAATATGGTTTTCCCAAACAGGACCAAAAACTGGTGCGCATAAGTGGGGAATACACCTGAAATCTGCTCCTTTCTGAATTTTGCACTGGATCCAGGAGTGTAGGTGAGGCTGGGGGAACTGCGGGTTGGCGGTTATGGATTGGAGCAGGGCACTGCCAACTTTTTCTGTAAAGGGTCACATAAAGTTTAGACTTTAAGGGCCATATGGTTTCTTTTGCAATTGCTAAATTCTACCAATGAGCGCACAAATGTGGCCACACAATGTGCAAGTGGGCATAGCTATGTTATAAGAGAACTTTACGGATACTGAAATTTTAATTTCATGTGTAGGTTTCACGTGTCACGGATTAATCTTTTGATTTTTTTCCCCGACCGTTTAAAATATAAAACCTGGGCGCCTGGGTGGCTCAGATGGTTAAGCGTCTGCCTTCGGCTCAGGTCATGATCCCGGGGTCCCGGGATCGAGTTCTGCATCGGGCTCCCTGCTCTGCGGGGAGCCTGCTTCTCCCTCTGCCTCTCTCTCTCTCTGTCATGAATAAATAAATAAAATCTTTTAAATAAATAAATAAAAAATAAAATATAAAACCTGCTCAAAAGTTGTGAATAAAGAAATGAAGGCTGCACTTGCCCACAGGCTACAGCATGAAGACCCCTTATTTAGAGTCAGGGCCCTGCCACTCAATAGCCTTAGATGCTTGGACCTCTATGGGCCTCAGGTTCCGCATCAATTTCTTAAAATTGTGGTGCGGTAATAAAGCCAGGAACTTTGATTATAATGTGATAAAAAAAATTTCATGCAGTTTTCTGGTGGGTAGAATGGACATTAAAAAAAGGTATGTTCAGTTATCTTGGTAAAAGTTTCTAAATGCATAGATTGCCATTCGCCTGCATTTCTGTTGTAAAACAGAACAAGACGCGCTTTAAAGGGCTTTGGGGGGCGCCTGGGTGGCTCAGTCTTTACGCCTCTGCCTTCGGCTCAGGTCATGATCCCAGAGTCCTGGGATCCAGCCCCTGGACAGGCTCCCTGCTCAACGGGAAGCCTGCTTCTCCCTCTCCCACTCCCCTGCTTGTGTTCCTGCTCTCGCTATCTCTCTCTCTCTGTCAAATAAATAAAATCTTAAAAAAAAAAAAAAAAATGAAGTGCTTTGGAATCCCCATAGGGCTGCACCCGCCTGAAGCCGAGGTTAGGGCAGCTCTCGCTCCACCAGTTCCCGCCCAGCAGCTGGTGCGCAGGCGCGGGGGTGAGGTGCGCTCGGCTGGCAGCGCGCAGCCGCGACACACAGGGCCCAAGGAGGCCCTGTTACCCTGGCGACGGTTTCCCAGCTCCCTGCTGCAACCCGCCAGGCCTTCATCGCGCTACACCAAGCTAAGAAGCCCTAGCCATGACTTCGTCCACCCCAGCGTCCCTCTCTATGGGCACAGCCGACGGGTTGCCTGAGACTGAGAAGAACGCAGCGGAGTCCGAGAATACCTATATTCTGCGGCCCATTTTCCAGCAAAGGCGGGTAACGGACGGGTTGTGGTGGGGACGTCCTACGAGCGCTGGGTCTGGGGGGCAGAGCTCGCCTGCAAGCCTGCCCGTCGGGAAAGTGCGCGGGGGGAGGTGAGGACCCGCGGGGTGGGCGGGGCGGGACTGGAGAGGGAGGTTCGGGGCTGGAGGTGGGGCAGGCTGGGGCGGAGGGGCCGGGCTACGGACGCGGGGCGGGACTGGAGAGGGAAAGGAGGGGCTGGGGAGGTAGGGGCGGGGCGGGGCTGGAGAGGATGGGGCGGGCTGGGGGACCGAGGAAGGTACTGGGTTGGAGTAGAGCCGGGAAGGAAGGAGGGTGGGGCTGGTCTGGAGACGTAGGGGCGAGTCGGGGAGGGGGCGTGCCGGGGCTGGAGACGTGGGGCGAGGCGAGAAGGTGGGTTGCTGTCTTTCTTGAGCTTCTAGCTGCTCTGGGCATTTGAGGACCCGACCCGCAGTTGCAGTGTTAGGGCGCCGGGAGGGCCTAAGGCTAGCGCAGTGGGAATGGTTGGCTCCAGGAGACCCGGGACGTGAGCAGAGGAGAAGAAATGGGTGGAATACAGAGAAGAGCAGTAAAGCAGCGCCATGCATTGAGTGCCGTTCAGCCATTTTCGAGGGTTACTGTGTGCATAGGTGTGCCAGAATACGCTTACTCCTCGGCAGGGAACGGGACCTGTATGCATACAAAGTCTTACCCAGGTATCATCTGGATGTTCTTGGCCCACCGCCGCGATACCTTCCCAGAATTAAAGTACACAGTCTAGTGCAGAGGACAGTCCGCTAGGGCTGTAGGGCCCATCACTTCCTTTATTTTCACAAGATAAAAAATTAAATTAAAAAAAGCCCCTCTGTTGCTCGAAACCAGATTGCTGAATCAAATGC